TAGGGAGGACGCCTGTATCTTTGTAGTGACTGGATGTATTGATACACCACCCGACGTGTAATTAATAACTTCACCATGCTCAAAGGGATATTCAATGTCTGCTTTTTATTTTATTTACCCATCTACCAATAGGTGACCTTCTTTGCGAGGTCTTTGGTCTTTGTGGTTGAATCTGTTTGAAATTCACTGCTCGACTGAGGGACCTTACAGATAATTGTATGTGTGGGGTACAGAGATGAGGTAATCATAAAAAAAATCACGTTAAACACTATTATTGCACATAGAGTGAGTCCATGCAACTTATTATATGACTTGTTAAGCAAATGTTTACTCCTGAACTTATTTAGGCTTGCCATAACAAAGGATTTGAATACTTATTGACTCAAGACATTTCAGTTTTTCTTTTTGTATTAATTTGTTTAAAAAAAAATCTAAATACATAATTCCACTTTGATATTATGGGTTATTGTGTGTAGGCCAGTGACAAAAAATAGTAATTTAATCCATTTTAAATTCAGGCGGTAACACAACAAAATGTGGAAAAAGACAAGGGGTGTGAATACTTTTTGAAGGCACTGTTGGTGCTGCTAGTTGGTATTTCTGAGGTTGTCAGTGGCAGGCAGCGTGTCTAAATGATAAATACTGCATTGTCTCTTTTCTCCACTACCTCCTTCTCTTTATATTTTTTTCTCCTCTGGATCTAGAGAGCCTGTCTTGCAGGCTGCCTGCCTGGTGTAGCTGCACTCACATGAGAGAGAGGCCCTCAAAAGGGGGCATTTACAACTGGGAAAAAGGCCAGAGACAAATATCTGGTTCTTATAGCCACTGTACTCTACTCCTCCCCCACCAGCGTTTGGTAGAGTCAGTTTTCCATTGATTCTGAAGATAAATAACCCAATAGCAGCACCCCGGAGAGAGCAGTTACTCCCCCAATCTTGCCAAAATGGCCACCACATTAGGCTACAGGATTTTCCTCACTTTCTTTGAAATCCACCCTGAATTTATTTACCCTTATTTTACCAGGTAAGATGACTGAGAACATATTCTCTTTTAAAGCAACAACCTGGGGAAGAATTACAGGGGGGTAGAATGAGCCGATTGGAAGCTGGGGATGATTAGGTGGCCATGATGGTATGAGGGCCAGATTGGGAATTTAGTCACGACACCGGGGTTAATGCCCCTACTCTTACGATAATTTTACTCTCACCCATTTTAACGTCCCATCCGATATATGCCACCCTATGCAGGGCAATGTCCCCTTCACTGCCCTGGGGATCTCCTTAGACCAGAGTGCCCCCTAATGGACCTCCAACACCATTTCCAACAGCATCTGGTCTCCAATCCAGGGACCGACCAGGACCGACCCTGCGTAGCTTCAGAGGCAAGCCAGCAGTGGGATGCAGGGTGGTATGCTTACTGTGTTGTAGTCCCACCATATAGCCTGCTACATTAGCAATGAGTCTGAACCTATTGAACTCAGTTACCTTTTAATTTTCTTTCCCTTTTCCAGTCAATGATTAGCAGAGTTTCCTTTGTTGTGCCATACTGTATACACAGTACAGTTGTATTAACAGTTACACTTGTAACAGATTTGACTTGGCATGAATGCTCTTGGCACCAACTCAATTCTTTGACTGCACAAGAAAATGTAGTAAAACTCATCAATCAGTGTTTGATTCAGAAGTTTGTTGAATCAGTGTGTTTGTTTCACAAATCTGTTTGAATCAGAGTGTTTGATTCAGAAGTTTGAATCAAATACACATCCAAGAGGACACCACCTCTATGCTCTGCTCTGCTCATCCTCTGACTCATGTGTTCAACAAAACGTAGTAAAAAGGTTAATAAGACCATAGAGTCACATACCTCATCCCCTGCCTCCTGCATTCCTGGAGCTGAGCCAGCTGAGCCAACTCTCTAACACACATATGGTTGAGGAGGGCTTTGAACCAGGCAGTCATCCACTACTTCTACTGGACAGAAGATATTTATAAACTAGAGCAGAGCCTCTTGATTGAACACCACATGTTTCTGCTCTGCCCCACCAGCCATCTCCATGCTGTCCCACCCTCCCCCCCTCCCCCTCGGGGGCCTACTGTATGGGGGGAGAGAGGCACACTGAGACCGCTGAGACAGGGGCTTAGGGTTTGTTCCCAGCCCTCTCTCTCCTCTCCCTCTGCCCCTCTACACACACACACACACACACACTACAGTCAGCCCTGGGACACTCATGCGTGTGAGAGAAACCTGAGAAAGATTTTGGACCAGAGCGATGGAATGAGTGCAGCTGTGAAGGGGATTCACGTGTGTGTGTGTGAAAGTGAGAGTGAGAGAGAGAGCGAAAAACCGGGAGAGAGAGAGAAACCGGGAGAGAGAGAGAAACCGCGAGAGAGAGAGAGAAACCGCGAGAGACAGAGAGAGAGAAACCGGGGGGGAGAGAGAGAGAGAGAGAGAGAGAGAGAAACCGGGAGAGACAGAGAGAGAGGCAGACTGCAGTAGGATGAGTGCAGCTGTTGGGGATTTAGTGTGAGAGGCTTAAGTCATGTCTGGGCCTGGCTTGCTCGTCCTCTGTGTGATTGACCTAATGGTTCAGTGTCAGGTACCACAAACCCAGTGAACTCTTCCTCTACTGCTGGGAGCCACCAGAGAAAGCTACACAGATACACTACAGTTGAGAGATAGGTTTGGTTTTCGTATTGGTGAGCAGATAGCAGTGCTCTCTACACTACAGGAAATACAAAATATGTGTTTTGTATTGTGTGAACAGTCACTAGTGCTGGACACTAAAGTATTTTGGATTCCTTTTACCTTTATACAGGTTAGCATAATGTTTACACAGGTTTTAGAATGGCTAGAATCTAGAATCAGTTTTTTATCTTTATTAAATCTGTATTTTACCAGGTTGTCCCGTTGAGGTCAAAATCCCACTATTTCAAGGGATATCTGTTTTTATATTTTTATGTAGTAGTTTATGGCTATAATTACTTGCTATATTCCTGCTCCATAGATGTGTAAACATTAGGTAGGCCTAATTGAGGCTACTTTTCTCTGACTCTTGTTGACATTTAAACGCTACACCCATTGAGCTCAGCTCACTACAAGAATGTGTGAAACACATTAGTCCTAGTGGTCGGTAGTCCTGAAGCCAGACTTTGCTGTACAGTTCTGAGAATTGAAAACTTGCACTGCAGCGATGTACATAAGCTGTAAGTTTGTTACAAAGTGGATGTACACTGAACAAAAATATAAATGCAACATGCAACAATTTCAAAGATTTACTGAGTTACAGTTCATATAAGGAAATCAGTCAATTGAAATAAATTAATTTGCCCTAATCTATGGATTTCAAATGACTGGGAATACAGATATGCGTCTGTTGGTCACAGATCAGAAAAACAGTCAGTATCTGCTGTGAACACCATTTGCCTCATGCAGCGCGACATCTCCTTCTGCCCGGTACAGTTGAAACCGGGATTCGTCCATGAAAAGCCGAACTGCAGTCAGGTCAAGACCCTGGTGAGGACGACGAGCACGCAGACGAGCTTCCCTGAGACGGTTTCTGACAGTTTGTGCAGAAATTCTTTGATTGTACAAACCCACAGTTTCATCAGCTGTCCGTTTGGTTGGTCTCAGATGATCCCGCAGGTGAAAAAGCCGGATGTGGACTTCCTGGGCTGGTGTGTTTACTTGTGGTCTGCGGTTGTGATGCCGGTTGGACATTCTGCCAAATTCTCTATAACGACGTTGGTGTCGGCTGATGGTAGAGAAATTAACATTCAATTCTCTGGCAACAGCTCTGGTGGACATTCCTGCAGTCAGCATGCCAATTGCACGCTCCCTCGAAACTTGAGACATCTGTGGCATTGTGTTGTGTGACAAAACTGCACATTTTAGAGTGTCCTTTTATTGTCCCCAGAACAAGGTGCACCTGTGTAATGATCATGCTGTTTATTCAGCTTCTTGATATGCCACACCTATCAGGAGGATGGATTATCTTGGCAAAGGAGAAATGCTCACTAACAGGGATGTAAACAAATTTGTGCACAACATTTTAGAGAAATAAGCTTTTTGTGCTTATGGGATCTTTTATTTCAGCTCATGAAACATGGGACCAACACTTTACATGTTGCGTTCATATTTTTGTTCAGTATAAAATACATTAAGAAATGTATTTAATTACATGGGGTATTGTCAGAAGATTGCTGATTGACATTACTCCACAAAAAAGTTTGTCCCATTAACCTTTCTGCAGAAAGGTATTTTGAATGTTTTAATTTTAAATGTGCTGAAGTGTACATGGAGCTTCCTCATCATCCCTTTGTGGCTTAGTATGTAGAGCATGGCACTTACAATGTCAGAGTTGTGGGTTCGATTCTCACTTGGCCACCCATACAAAAAATGTATGCACACACACACAGATCCTATTAAATAGATAAGTAGTTTCTATATATAATTCTATGTGCACACACTCTTAGATAAAAAGGTGCTATCTAGAACTTAAAAGTGTTCTTCGGCTGTCCCCATAGGATAACCCTTTTTGGTTCCAGGTAGAACCCTTTTGCGTTCCATGTACATCCCTTTCCACAGAGTGTTCTATATGGAACCCAAATGGGTTCTACCTGGAACCAAAAATGGTTCTACCTGGAACCAAGAAGGCTTCTATTGGGACAGCCGAAGAACCATTTTGGAACCCTTTTTTCTACGAGTATACTGTAAGTAACTTTGGATAAACGTATCTGCTAAATGGAATACATATTATATTAGATTGACATCTCCCCTGCCTGTGGTCTATCTGAGTATGTTTCAGGCAGAAAGAACTGACCTCTCCCTGTCCTCTGTCCTCTGTGGTGTTTCAGGCAGAGAGAACTGACCTCTCCCTGTCCTCTGTCCTCTGTGGTGTTTCAGGCAGAGAGAACTGACCTCTCCCTGTCCTCTGTCCTCTGTGGTGTTTCAGGCAGAGAGAACTGACCTCTCCCTGTCCTCTGTCCTCTGTGGTGTTTCAGGCAGAGAGAACTGACCTCTCCCTGTCCTCTGTCCTCTGTGGTGTTTCAGGCAGAGAAAAAGGCCCTGCTGGTGTCAGTGATGAACACAATGGAGGACCATGAGGAGATGGAGCCTGAGCCACAACAGAAAGAAGAGGTGTCAGTCATCACACACAACCAACAACAACAACAGCAACAACAACAACAGCAACAACAACAACAGCAGCAGCAGCAACAGCAGCCCACGGACCCAGCGTCCCCGACAGTGGCCACCACACCTGAACCTGTCGCCATGGCAGGAGGGGACAAGACGTCACCCAAGACAGCTGATACTGAGCCTGAGTACGAGGTAAACACAAGACACACAATGTAGCAATTACATATATGCCACTTAGCAAATGCTTAGCAGACGGTCATCCACCAGAAACTGACTTAAAGTACAGTGAGTAGATACATTTTGTTTGTTAGTATGTGTATGTGATGATCTTATCCCAGTAGGACGGATGTGGTTTCAGCATTGGGGAGCTAGTGTGGGGGAAGCTGAGGCGGTTCTCCTGGTGTTGTTTACCGTTGTTGTTGTTGTCCTGCAGGAGGGACGTGGTTTCGGCATTGGGGAGCTGGTGTGGGGGAAGCTGAGGGTGTTTTTCTGGTGTTGTTATCCTGGTGTAGTTGTTTACTGTTGTTGTTGTCTTGTAGGACGGGCGTGGTTTCAGCATTGGGGAGCTAGTGTGGGGGAAGCTGAGGGGGTTCTCCTGGTGGCCTGGTCGTATTGTCTCCTGGTGGATGACCGGACGCAGCCGAGCTGCCGAGGGGACACGATGGGTCATGTGGTTTGGTGACGGAAAATTCTCTGTGGTGAGTAAAAACGGTTAAAACAGCACACCAGTGTCGTGTTCAGTAGGCACCAAACATATGAAAACAGACTGGAACTGGGAGTGACTACCTGGATTAATTTGTCCAGTAAGAAACAGTCATTTTCGGTTTCCGTTTTAAAACGTTTTGCTATGGTGTGCCCTACTGAACACGACCCATTAAAACTGAATTTTCTGTTCCACTAATGAAAACAAATAAAATTAGAAATTACTAAATTCAGTTGTTCATCTGTGTCTACTATTTTCCTACAGGTGTGTGTAGAGAAACTGTTGCCTTTGAGTTCCTTCTCCAACGCCTTCCACCAGCCCACCTACAGCAAGCAGCCCATGTATAAAAAAGCTATCTACGAGGTGCTTCAGGTCAGCACTGGGCTAAATTTCATTATGTCTCATTCACAGCATTCAGTCGTGTCCCATTTAATCACAGCGGGCTAAACTGGTTGAAATTACGTCATTACAACCAGTTCACAACTAGAACTGGATTGGAATCTGGTTTTAATGGTTGTAATTCGATTGTGATTATGTCATGTCAACCAGCTTTGTGCGCTGAAAGATACTGCTAGTCAGCACCTTTCAAAATCATAGACTGTTGAAAAAGGCCTCAAGTCCTCTAGAATGGCTCAGAGAAGGTCTGCTCTGTAGTAATGATAGATGCTTATAATACCTGCTGAGTGAACATTAGGAACACCTGCTCTTTCTATGACTTAGACTGACCAGGTGAATCCAGGTGAAAGCTATGATCCCTTATTGATGTCACCTGTTAAATCCACTTCAATCCGTGTAGATGAAGGGGAGGAGACAGTTTAAAGAAGGATTTTTAAGCCTTGAGACATGGATTGTGTATGTGTGCCATTCAGAGGGTGAATGGGCAAGACAAAATATTTAAGTGCCTTTGAACGAGGTATGGTAGTAGGTGCCAGGCGCACCAGTTTGTGTCAAGAACTGCACCGCTGCTGAGTTTTTCGCGCTCAACAGTTTCCCGTGTGTATCAAGAATGGTCCACCACCCAAAGGACATCCAGTCAACTTGGCACAACTGTGGGAAGCATTGGAGTCAACATGGGCCAGCATCCCTGTGGAACGCTTTCGACACCTTGTAGAGTCCATGCCCCGACGAATTGAGGCTGTTCTGAGGGCAAAAGGGGGTGCAACTCAATATTAGGAAGGTGTTTCTAATGTTTTGTACACTCAGTGTATATACAGTGGGGAGAACAAGTATTTGATACACTGCCGATTTTGCAGGTTTTCCTACTTACAAAGCATGTAGAGGTCTGTCATTTTTATCATAGGTACACTTCAACCGTGAGAGACGGAATCTAAAACAAAAATCCAGAAAATCATATTGTATGATTTTAAAGTAATTAATTTGCATTTTATTGCATGACATAAGTATTTGATCAACTACCACCCAGTAAGAATTCCGGCTCTCACAGACCTGTTAGTTTTTCTTTAAGAAGCCCTCCTGTTCTCCACTCATTACCTGTATTAACTGCACCTGTTTGAACTTGTTGCCTGTATAAAAACACATGTCCACACACTCAATCAAACAGACTCCAGCCTCTCCACAATGGCCAAGACCAGAGAGCTGTGTAAGGACATCAGGGATAAAATTGTACACCTGCACAAGGCTGGGATGGGCTACAGGACAATAGGCAAGCAGCTTGGTGAGAACGCAACAACTGTTGGCGCAATTATTAGAAAATGGAAGAAGTTCAAGATGACGGTCAATCACCCTCGGTCTGGGGCTCCATGCAAGATCTCACCTCGTGGGGCATCAATGATCATGAGGAAGGTGAGGGATCAGCCCAGAACTACACGGCAGGACCTGGTCAATGACCTGAAGAGAGCTGGGCCCACAGTCTCAAAGAAAACCATTAGTAAAACACTACGCCGTCATGGATTAAAATCCAACAGCGCACGCAAGGTCCCCCTGCTCAAGCCAGTGCATGTCTAGGCCCGTCTGAAGTTTGCCAATGACCATCTGGACGATCCAGAGGAGGAATGGGAGAAGGTAATGTGGTCTGATGAGACAAAAATAGAGCTTTTTGGTCTAAACTCCACTCGCCGTGTTTGGAGGAAGAAGGATGAGTACAACCCCAAGAACACCATCCCAACCATGAAGCATGGAGGTGGAAACATCATTCTTTGGGGATGCTTTTCTGCAAAGGGGCCAGGACGACTGCACCATATTGAGGGGAGGATGGATGGGGTCATGTATCGCGAGATCTTGGCCAACAACCTCCTTCCCTCAGTAAGAGCAATGAAGATGGGTCGTGGCTGGGTCTTCCAGCATGACAACGACCCGAAACACACAGCCAGGGCAACTAAGGAGTGGCTCCGTAAGAAGCATATCAAGGTCCTGGAGTGGCCTAGCCAGTCTCCAGACCTGAACCCAATAGAAAATCTTTGGAGGGAGCTGAAAGTCCGTATTGCCCAGCGACAGCCCCGAAACCTGAAGGATCTGGAGAAGGTCTGTATGGAGGAGTGGGCCAAAATCCCTGCTGCAGTGTGTGCAAAACTGGTCAAGACCTACAGGAAACGTATGATCTCTGTAATTGCAAACAAAGGTTTCTGTACCAAATATTAAGTTCTGCTTTTCTGATGTATCAAATACTTATGTCATGCAATAAAATACAAATTAATTACTTAAAAATCATACAATGTGATTTTCTGGATTTTTGTTTTAGATTCCGTCTCTCACAGTTGAAGTGTACCTATGATAACAATTACAGACCTCTACATGCTTTGTAAGTAGGAAAACCTGCAAAATCGGCAGTGTATCAAATACTTGTTCTCCCCACTGTAGATACAGTCACCTCCAAGATTATTGGCACCCTTGATAAAGATGAGAAAAAAAGACTATAAAATAAATCATTTAAATACCTAGCTATATTGTATGATTTTTTTAAAATGATAAAATGATATTCTATTATACTAATAAAATTACTCAGAGAAAGAGATCTTGTGTAATAATGTATTTTCTCAACAGGATAGGTGTCAAAATTATTGGCACCCCTGTTATCAATACTTTGTGCACCCTCCCCTTGCGAGGATTACGGCACTGAGCCTTTTTCTATAATGTTTTATGAGATTGGAGAACACATTGGGAGGGATCTTAGACCATTCCTCCATACAGAATCTTTCCAGATCCTTGATATCCTTCGTCTGTACTTATGGACTGCCCTCTTCAATTCAAACCACAGGTTTTCAATGGAGTTCAAGTCCGGAGATTGAGATGCCATTGCAAAATGTTGATTTTGTGGTCAATTAACTATTTCTTTTTGGATTTTGATGTGTGCTTGGGGTTATTGTCTTGCTGGAAGATCCAACTATGTGCCAAGTTTCAGCCTCCCTCCCAATGTGTTCTCCAATCTCATAAAACATTTTAGAAAAAGACTCAGTGCCAATCCTCGCAAGGGGAGCGTGCCGGAGTATTGAAAACGGGTGCCAATAATTTTGACCCCTATTCTTTTTGAGAGAAAAAAAGGTATTACTTGTTAAACAGTATAAAATAATATAAAATGAGCATACAATATAGCTCAGTGTTTCCATTTTATACAGTCTTTTTTGCTCATCTTGATCAAGGTACCAATAATTTTGGAGTTGACTGTATATACAGGTGATGAAATGATGACAACAATGACTGGTCATGTCCCTCTGCAGGTGGCCAGCACCCGAGCAGGCAAAGCCTTCATAGGCTGTCCGGAGAGCGATGAGACAGACACCTCCAAGTCAGTGGATCTACAGAGCAAACAGATGATAGAGTGGGCAAAGACAGGCTTCCAACCCACCGGACCCAAGGGCCTAGAGCCACCAGAAGGTACGTTTCAAGTTTATTTGCCAATTATTTGTAATGAATACATTGAAAATCACCTTAGCTTAGAGCCACCTGAAGACAAGAGGAGCTTTATAACAGGCAGGTTGCCTAGCGGTTAGAGCGCTGGGCCAGTAACCAAAAGGTTGCTGGTTGAATACCCAAGGCGACAAGGTGAAAAATCTGTCGATGTGCTCTTGAGCAAGGCACTTAACCATAATTTGCTCCAGGGGTGCCATACTACTATGGCTGACCCTGTAAAACAACACATTTCACTACACCTATCTGAAGACTCATACATACAATAACATTTTGTTGTCCATGTTACAGCGAATAACAAAAGTCCCCCCCCCCCCCAGACAGAACACATCACACATCACACACAGTTGAGACAAACACATGGTCAAGCTGCAGATGGGGAGCATGGATGGGGAGTATGTTGTGGGGTTAAGGGCCTAACGGTAGGGGAATGTCTTTAGGATGTGAACCCAGCAGCCCTCCAGTTGCCAGATCAATTCCACCCTTTTTATCCAGCATTCCCCTACCTATCTTTGGTAGTCTTTTGGTAATAGTAAAAATGTCTGTTTTTGTCTGGTTATCTGAGTTGTTTATTGTGTTACTGATATGCCCCGTCCACCAGAGGAGCGTAACCCATATAAGGAGGTGTACCCTGACGTGTGGGTGGAGCCAGAGGCGGCAGCCTACACGCCCCCTCCCGCCAAAAAGCCTCGCAAAAGCACAGCAGCAGAGAAACCCAAGGTCAAGGAGATGATTGACGAGGGGACGAGAGGTAAGGTAGCTTTTTTCATTGGGTTAAATAGGGGTTATGACCTCTATATCCCTCCCCCTCAGGGAGATTTAGCTAGGGGTGTGTGTGTGTGTGTGTGTGTGTGTGTGTGAGTGTGAAAGAGAAAGACTGTTTGTGAAAGACAGGGTAGCAGGTGCTTAGTACTAGAAGTCAAAGGGTTAACATGGTCAACTCTATTAATGAGTGTAGGTATTATATGTTATGTAGCTAGTAAATGTTATGTAGCACTGTATCACTTATGTAGGTGTTATGAATATACTCAGCCTAGCTCTCGTTATAATATACTTTATATTGGCAAAAAAAACAAATGTAATATCTTAAAAGCAAATGGAGAAGTAGGGGTAAGACAGGGTATGTCTGCAGCTTTTTTCTCTCTCTTGAAGATGTCATCTGCAAGGATGTATAGTAACAAACATTCAAATCATATCCTGATCAGAAACCATGTTTGTTTTCTGTCTGTATTTCCAGAGAGACTTGTGTATGAAGTGAGACAGAAATGCAGAAGCATAGAAGGTAAGTGGTCTGTCTCTGTGTTCAGGCAGCCAGGGTCATGTTCAGTAGGCAGCAAATGAAAGAAAGTGACTATTTTATATGAGTCCTCAAAGCATATTAGCTTTCCTTATGAAATGTACATTCCTCTCACAGCTGTTCAAATATGTCTATTGAATCCAAGGCTTGATGCAAGGCAGTGGGGTTTTTAGACCTCCAGTTGGCTTGCCTAGCACCAGTGGTTTAGTGGAGGGTAAATGTTTAGAAACGTTGTTTATACATCATTTCCTTTTGTAAATAGTGCCTGTACCTATTATGCTAAAGTAGCGTTTCTCAATCTTGATCGGCGATCAGGGTTTACCCATTTATTTGCTTACCACTGCATCTCTGGCTTGCACTAATTACATTCTGTCTTTCTCCACAGACATCTGCATCTCCTGTGGAAGTTTGAATGTTTCCCGTGAACACCCTCTATTTGCTGGAGGAATGTGCCAAAGCTGTAAGGTAAGGATGGAGGCCATTAAGGCTATTGAATCAGGGCTAGCTGTAGGCCATGGAGTCTGTATATCTGGGGCTGTATGTATCAAGCCACTCAAGCCGGAGTGCTGATGATCGGTTTAGCCTTTTGGATCACAATGAATAAGATTACATGGACAGGTAGGACCTGATGCTATATCGGCACTCCTACTCTGACAGGTAGGACCTGATCGTAGAGGGTGGCAGGTAACCTAGCGGTTAAGAGCGTTGGGCCAGTAACCGAAGGGTCGCTTGTTTGAATTCCCGAGCCGGCAAGGTGGAAAAATCTGTCGTTCTGCCCTTGAGCAAGGCAGTTAACCCCCGACAACGACTGCTCACCGGGCACCGATGACGGCGATTAATGCAGCCACCCGCACATCTCTGATTCAGAGGGGTTGGGTTAAATTCGGAAGACGCATTTCGGTTGAATGCGTTCACTTGTGCATCTGACTAGGTATTTCCTTTCCCTTGACATATACGGGCCCAGGTCTAGCTCCCCTCTAGAAAAGCCTGGCCTCAAGGGACCCCACTTTGAGCCATTAACACGTCTTTTGGACGTCAACATTCTAATAAATACATTTCATATATGCTATCACAAATTATCCTTTGGTTGTGTTTATGAAGGTGTTAGGTAACATTAGAATATGAAAAAAAAATGTATTTCAAAGAACATAATAGCATTTTCATTAGTTAATGTTACTGTAGGCTATAAAGTAAAAATGAAAAACCACTGAAACCCCAACAATTCAACAGTTAAATTCATTATTTCCTTTTGGCAGGTCTTAAGAAACATTATGGAAATAAGAAAATGTATTTCAAAAGAACAGAATAGCATGTTTTAATGTGTATTTTGTTACTAGTCTTTGCTTAGTAGCCTGAGCAATGCTGCCGCGAGTGCTCACGTGTTGAACGCATGGAACCGCAGTTATTCTTGGAAAAAGTGGTATTTTGAAATGGAGCTCACCTCTTAATTTTTTTTTGTTATTTGACAAAGGTAAGTGTTTTAGGAACTGCAGAATTTGCTCTTTCTGATACTATATAGAAATCAAATTGTCTTACCTGCATGTGACTCTGTTGGAGGATTTGAAAAAGTGACTTTTTGGCGCTCTGTTTCCCTGCATCTGTGTCAATTCCCAATTGGTAATATTGTCACCTATCAGACTTTTCTTCATTTAATCTTGTCTTTAGGCTAACTCTATTATTATATTAGTTTGGATAAAGTTTTGGCGTAGTTTCGATGGGCCATCAGCTGCACAGGCTGACTGGTGGTGAATGAGGGGCAGGGGGTGAAAATGACATGTCCTCTTAAAACTGATATTAAGATTCTAACAATGACAGTGTGTTATATAGACTTATTTAGGAAAAGTCAAGGAAAGGGGGGAGGGAAATTACTTTAAAATGGCAGAGTAATTAAAAATGGAAATTAGTTTGGCGTCCACATGACGCGCTCAGCTTTTCTAGTGTTAAAGCTCTCTGTTACCAAAACACAACCACAGTATTCACATATTGAGTGGTGGTTTTCTAATCACTACTTGTTTTTCTGTTAATAATAATATTGACAATACTTTATTCAACTTATAGAGCGCATTTCATTACACCACGAATCAAATATTTCTCCACTGCTGTGTCCCAGAACTGCTTTCTAGAATGTGCGTATCAGTATGATGACGATGGTTACCAGTCATACTGCACTATCTGCTGTGGGGGACGAGAGGTGCTCATGTGTGGAAACAACAACTGCTGCAGGTGAGGGGGGGTACTTTCATCTGATGCTAACTAAGTTCATAATTGTTGTGATTCACTCAGTGTATTTGTGTGTGTTAGGTTAGTATGTGAGTATGCCGGTTTACCTTCATAAGTGTGTCTGTGTGTAACATTGTGCGTGCGGATGTTCGTTCTTACGTGTATGTGATTATGTGCGTCCATGTGTCTGTGTGTATTAGCGTCTAGCAGGATAATAACACAGCCCCCCCCCCCCCCCAAGGTGTTTCTGTGTGGAGTGTGTGGACCTGCTGGTGGGCCCAGGCGCAGCACAGATAGCTATAAAAGAGGACCCTTGGAGCTGCTACATGTGTGAGAAGGGCCAGAAGGGGGTGTTCGGCCTGCTGGAGCGTCGCGCTGACTGGCCCTGCCGTCTACAGCACTTCTTCGCTAATAATCATGACCAAGATTTTGTGAGTAGTACCTCAGTACTATGTGTCAAGCTTGCTATAAAGTTCACAGCCACAGAGCCACAACGAGTCTGTGTTCCATCGTGACACAGCACGTCCGCGCCTCTATAAGGGCCAAATGAGCTCAAACAAGCTTCCTAAATATGTAAATAATGAGCAGGCAGACTATCACGGCTCTGGGGCTCTACGAATTGAGCTTCAAACAGTAGAGACAGCTGACGTCATTCCAGGCTCTCTCTGGGTAAGTACTAGCCCCATATTTTCTCTCTCTCTGTGTTGTTTCACAGGAACCACCAAAGCTTTACCCTCCTGTCATGGCAGAGAAGAGACAACCCATTCGTGTCCTGTCACTGTTCGACGGCATAGCAACAGGTTAGAAGAGAATCTCCTCCCCCTCTCCTCCTCCCCCTCTTCTCTCCTCTCCTTGACACAAAACCCTCTGAACTTCTCTGTCTCTGTCTGTACAAAGTGTTCCGTCTGTTTCAGGTTTCATTGGGACTGTCCCCACTGACTCATGACTACAAACTAGGCTGACTGTCTATTGTTGTAAAGATAGATAGATAGATAGCAAACTAATCCACACAGCATGCTGTTTAACCATATTGTCTAGCAGTGCGCTTCTCATACCTTTCCTGGCTGTCCTTCACTTCCCTATCTGTTCAATAAAACCACACAAAAATACTAAAGAAGTGGGAATTCCCATTCCTGTGAAAAGAAAAGACCACCACAATAGTGTGCCTCAGGCCAGACCAGGCCTTCAGTATTGTGTCTCGTCGGTATTGTTATTCAGTTCAGTTCACCAAGTTCAAGTTAATCATCCACTTTATTTAACCAGGATCCACTCAGCAACAACTGCCACTGTTGACCAGGGAGTCATGGAGTCCATCAAAAGAACAAAAACATGCTACTGTTTGACCTATTTCCACGTTGACCCCTGACCTTTAGGTCTGCTGGTGCTGAAGGAGCTGGGTATCCAGGTGGAGCGCTACGTGGCGTCGGAGGTGTGTGAGGACTCCATCACGGTGGGCATCGTCAGGCATCAGGGACGCATCATGTACGTGGGCGACGTGAGGAACGTCACACGCAAACATGTGAGTATTTCATATTTTATAATGTTATGAACCATGGGAGTAGTGCAAGGTCACGCATGGCCCATGAATCACATTAGCCTGGCTCAAAGACGAACGCCCTAGCCACAATCTCAATAAGGATATTTCAATTGAGAAAGATTGGAAGGTGCCTATCAGCTAGGGCCATTACAAAAACACTTCATATAACATTACTTCAACCTCTAAACCACAAAAAAGTATCTCTTAGTTGGATAATCTGTCTATTTTGTCTTTCTTATCTCCTGTCCTCCTCTTTCTCGTATTGTTTTTCCTGTTCTCTCTCTCCCTTGGTACAGTTACACGAGTGGGGCCCCTTTGACTTAGTGATTGGTGGAAGTCCATGTAACGACCTCTCTATTGTCAACCCGGCTAGGAAGGGTCTTTATGGTAGGTAACAACACTGTACATTTATCACTTGTGTTCTGTGATTGGTGAAGAGTTATTTCCTGTTGCTGAATTTTAAATGACTGTCCTTCTCTGTTTCTCCTGTAGAGGGCACTGGTCGGCTGTTCTTTGAGTTCTACCGCCTGCTGCATGAGGCTCGGCCCAAAGAGGGCGACAACCGGCCGTTCTTCTGGCTCTTTGAGAATGTGGTGGCCATGGGCGTAAGCGACAAGAGGGACATCTCTCGCTTTCTAGAGGTTTGTTCCTTTACAGAGACTATATCACTTCTAGGAGTTCTAGGAGAACGAACTGTACATCAGGCATGTAAATGTTTAACCTTTGGAATATGGATGAATTTTTGATGAATGCCACCTTGTGGTGATAATTCACAGTGCATGGTGTCAATATACTAGTTAGGTTATGAGGGAACAATTTAAACGGTTAATTTAAAGATATTAATTTATCATTGTATGAAATTCTCCTTATACGAAAGATCATCTCCACTACTTCAATAAAACCCTTCAGGTCATTCTTGTAAAAGAGAATATGTTCTCAATAACTTACCTGGTCAAATAATGGTTAAATAAACCTCCTGTCTCCCCCTCCCAGTGTAACCCAGTGATGATCGATGCCAAGGAGGTGTCTGCTGCTCACCGCGCCCGCTACTTCTGGGGCAACCTGCCTGGCATGAACAGGTTGGTGAGAGAACGGTGAGGGAAGCAACAGCCAGCCTGTCACCTAAAGCAACGCACACCGTGGCTAGTTCCTGAGCCAGTCAAACCCTGCAACCAAAGAATCATCACCTCCTTTTACGCACTGTTTTTATCTCTCTCTCTTTCTCTCTCGCTCACCGTCTCTCTCTTACGCTCTTACTCTCTCACACTCTCTTTTTCTCTCTTTCTTTCGCTCAATCTCTCTCTCTCTCTCTCTCTCTCTCTCTCTCTCTCGCTCACCGTCTCTCTCTTACGCTCTTACTCTCTCACACTCTCTTTTTCGCTCTTTCTCTCGCTCTCTCTCTCTCTCTCTCCTCTCTCTCTCTCTCTCTCTCTCTCTCTCTCTCCGCTCTCTCTCTCTCTCTATTTTCACACATCCCTTACCTTTCCCTCTCTTTTCCTCTGCAGACCCTTGACTGCCATGTGCACTGACAGACTGGACCTTCAGGAGTGTTTGGAGCATGGCAGAACAGCGAAGGTCAGTTATAGATGTCTGGCTTCTTATTGGAGCTGTGCTTTTGCTGTTCTGGCATAGACCAAATTGCCCGAACATGTAAATTGTGTAGTTCATTCATTTGTACAACTTAGTTCAAGGTACATGCACTCAAACGGTGTAGAAACAAACATTGAGTGTGAGTACCTTTTGAATTTTCAAATGAAATGTTTGGTCATATGGACAATTTGGTCCGTAAACAATACTTGGTTATCTTATTCTCATGCACCAGCCACTTAGTGTGTGCACTGTCTGGTTTCCCCTCAGTTTGGCAAAGTGAGGACCATCACCACTCGCTCTAATTCCATTAAGCAGGGTAAAGACCAGCATTTCCCCGTCTTCATGAACGAGAAGGAGGACATTCTCTGGTGCACTGAGATGGAGAGGTAGGAACTGATTACCTTTCAAATTCATTCATCATACCAGCAAATGAAATGACGTTATTACAAGCAGTTACCTCTTTATTATTCGAATGATTCCCTTACAGGAAGTCATATATATTATTCCATATTACCCTTCTATGAAGCACCTAAAAGTAAATCTCACATTGAAATATAACGCCATTTTAGATGTCACTAATTCTCAAGTGTATCTGTCTGTCTGTCTCCTGCTCTGTCTGTCTGTCTGTCTGTCTGTCTGTCTGTCTGTCTGTCTGTCTGTCTGTCTGTCTGTCTGTCTGTCTGTCTGTCTGTCTGTCTGTCTGTCTGTCTGTCTGTCTGTCTGTCTGTCTGTCTGTTCCCTCTGGTGGCTGTCTGGTTACTGTCTCCCTCCCTAGGGTGTTTGGCTTCCCAGTCCATTACACAGACGTGTCCAACATGAGTCGACTGGCCAGGCAAAGGCTTCTGGGAAGGTCGTGGAGTGTACCGGTCATCCGCCACTTGTTTGCACCACTCAAAGAATACTTTGCCTGTGTTTAACAAGACTTGGCTCAACAAACCATCACAAACATATAACTGATGTTGTAACTAGAAACAAGAGTCTTGGTGAAATTATACTACTCCCTGGTATCATTTCTCAGGCAAGCAAAACATCATCAGAGTAGATATTTCACATTATTTCTTGTATTTTGAAATGTACTTCTTATTCTATTTAATTTGTATATGTCATTTTACCTTTTAGCAGTGTTATCCAGTATTTTTTTATTGATTTATTTGTGCAAGCTATACTTGAGACAAGGCTTTCTTCTCAAGGCACTGAGAAAGAAGAAACTATGATCTGTGCGATTTTTTGAATAAAGACTAGGATTTGATGATTGGAAAAGATCTGAAAGATAGAATTTATGATACTGTATGTACAGTATGTATGTGAATGATTTTGGCTGTGTAGGCATGATATTGTATTGGCCTATATCTGAAGTGGACAAAGCAAATCCACCTCCAGCCACTGAGCCTCGCAGAGCTAAAGTGAATAAGAGTGATTTTCTTCAGTGTGACAGAAAGCTGTGTCTTAATGAATCCAAAACACCAGATCACATATACCTCTTTGTTTACAGTTTATATACACAGTTAACTGAAGGTAAAGGTACTACTGTAAAATGGTTACAATACCATGGTGCTTCGAGACAATAGGAAACATCACAGTCCATGTGGCACAGGCACTACACTTTAGACAAGATGGGAATAATAAATACAAAATATCACCTGGAAAGTTGTTTTTTCAGTGTGATATTTTCACACTTTTAAATAAGTTATGTGCTATCTTAATAACTTGAAATGACTTGAAAGTGGCGATAAAATAAGGCGTGGTGGCAGAAGACTGCAGAATTACATGCCATATCCTCCTCTTTCCTATGTTTTACAGCTTTTTTAAACAAAGATTATACTGGTGCTTTTTCAATCATTTTTCAAGCCTTGCTACATGCAAACTCAGGCCCCCATGCCTGCCTGTGTCAGACTCTGCACAAACAGAAAATGAAGCTAGCCACATGGGCAGTGATGTTTTCTGTAGTTACAAAAACAAAAAAATCTTGATCAAAGTCTGTGGTGAACTACTTTTTTCTAGTTTCATCCTGACCAATGTCATTACTGTACAACTGTTAGTGAGCATGGTCGGTGGACTGGAGGGAGTGTGGGTGCCCTGGTGTTTCCACAACCAAGTAAAGACTCTCCTTCCCTTCTCACCCCTGCAAACTAGATACTGTCAGGTGCAAGTCTTCAAACAATATGGTGCGGCTTCACAATGTTCTTCTACCTTTTTATAGCAATTTTGTGCTGTTTTACCAACATTATAAAGCACTTTTTATATGTATATTTCTTTCTTTTTTCTTTAGTATTAGAAAATGTCTTCTTGGTTTTTCTTGTGAAACGTTTGTTTTGTTTTTATGAGGTGAACTGTTCTACCATTGTGTAATACAGTATGTTTTCTATACAGTAGGGCTGTGCCAATAGAAGTGAAAGAATGGATTATTAGAATTATGTTCTATCCATGTATCCATGGAAACAATTAATTATTGGTCCTACTCAATGTACAGTAGATTAATTGAAAATTATTAATGTGCTCCATTACCATATTGTCTTCTGTTCAAAGCAGTAATTCAGTATCATCCTCTGGATAAAAAATAATGTATATTTCTATCAAGATTGTAGGATTTAGATCCCAAATAGTTAGAGAGAGAGATAGAGAGAGACATATTCAAACGATTATTAACCACACTTGGATTACATTCCAAATCTGAATTTTCTGATTATCTGAATTATTGTGACCTTGAATGTGGACGATTTAGAAATGAGTTTGTCAGAACTCAAAATTGAAGAGTGAACCGTGGCCAAAAAAAAGAGCAGAGATTATGACTTACCCATCTAAATATTCAATATGACTTAATTTCATAAATGTAGTTTCATACATGATTAAGTTCTTAAGTGACCTTATTGTATCCTTGTCACCATTTTAGTTGAACTTCACACATTGGGTTCTCAGGAATTCTTGTGCGTTGTGTTGACATTCATTCCCCTTCCATATAGCAAATGACCATGCCCCTTGTACATTTTGTACATAGAGTTTTCCTGTTGCTGTTTTTGGTTTGTTTTTATCTTTTTTAATTACCTATGAGATGTACAAATATAATTCTTTGCTAATATATATCATGGAATTAGAAAAAAAAGATTAGGAAGAAAAAAATGGAATCAAGTAAAATGGAAAAAATTGAATCAAAATAAGCTATGAAGCATTAGAGGTGGGTAGACTCCAAGTCTTGCCTTCTAGTACTGTTAATTTGTTTTATTTGTTTTTGTTTTTCAATGTTCTGAGTGAATCCAGTTGAAATGTGTCACGTGATCTTAATAGTAGCCTAATAATGACAGCTTTAAGATGGAACGGTCTAAACTTCACTGCACAGCCCTACATAATGTTGGTTGTTTTTTTGCTTTTGTTTCTTTAAAGAATTATAAAGAGGGATTGTAGGTGTTTCTGATGGTGCTAAAAATTTTATCTAATCAAGAAAAAATATATTTGTTTGGAAGATAAATAAAACTTGTCTCGACAATGACTGTTTTTAAGTTCCTTATGGTAATGATGGAAGAGCACTATTATTTCCCTCTCATATGATGCATATATTAACAAAGGCATTTTAACTTTGTACTTGAAAAAATTATGAATAATAAATAATGAGTTTCCGATATTGTTTTAGACTAGAAATTGCTGTAGTTGGTTGGTGCTTATCTGTGGGAAAAACCATGTACTCCGTAATGGGAAATAACAAAAAAAAAAAAACATTTCGGTAATAACTTTTACTGTAGCATAATGCATAATGTATGCTTAAAACTTGGCATCCGCGTTGCTTCTTAATCCCACATTCCATGCCGTAACATCCTATCTTCCATGTCTTGTTTTCAATTGTCGTTTTTTGATTGATGCTTTTGTTATTATTGGCTAATGTTATGTCCCAAATGGCACCCTGTTCCCATTATAGTGCACTACTTTTGGCCAGGCCCCATAGGGTGCCATATATAGTGAATAGGGTGCCATTTGGGATGCTCCCCATGACATTTCACTGTTTCAGACAGGTCAGTTCTATTATCCAGTGATACTGTTAGTTGGCGCTCAGTCTGTGTGACTTCTTCTTTTGTGTCATATTAATTGTTTTATGGCCTATGTTTTTCTTCTTTAAGATGATCAGTGCGTACAGCAAATGTAGCAGTCATTCTCCACCCTTTACCCAATACTTATGTTTTAGTACCCAGAAAGAAGAAAAAGGCTCCTTATGTATTTGTGCTGGAGAACACTTGAATAAATGTATTGTTTTTGTGCAAAAATATGATAGCTCCTGTTGTTCTTCACCTGTACCGAGAATAAATTGAACTATACAAAATCTTATCACTATTGATCAGGTTCCTTGGCAATATAATAACATACCATGTCTATGGTACCATTGTTGCACATCTATGCTAAAGTTATAGCTAAAGCCTACTTTTAAATTGCTTTAAAATCTTTAAAAATTACTTTAAAATCTCAAAGAGGGACCTTTTTCTTTTAACAGTATAAAAGGTAATAGTTTGTTGGTTTTGCTTTTTTTCATATCACCGCATTTGCTCACACATTTAATGACTGCAACTACTAATAATAATCTGTGTTTGTAGTGTTCTCTTGTCTTCATAATGATTACACAAACCATAAATCAGAATAGCATACTTTATGAATTATTTAGAAATACTGTGTATTCTAATGATTATATGGCCTCCTTGCTTTATCCATGATCTTTCCTTTCCCCATAAGCACAGTTCACACCCACTTCCTCACACAATGGTACAGCCCCCTCCAAGTGGACACGCCCTAAGTGCAAAGTAATTGGTTCCTCTGGTGACCGAGTCTGCGTTCCCTATCGGTGATTGGAGCGTCTGCATGTCGCACGGGCTTGGATGCTGCGACCGGAGGTTGAGCAGGCTGTATTCAGAGTGAAGCATCTGCCCCTGGCTGCCGCAAGTGTTCGTCTCATTCAACGGATTGGTGCTGTTGTAGGCTATCAGAAAGTAACCGAAAAAGCGTTTTGGAGCCGTAGGCCTGTAGGAGAGGTATGTGGAGCGCAATCGAGATTTGCAACCTTAGCATACTGATAGGCTATTTACTAAGAATTATGTGAGGAGGCTTTGATTTGGGGCCCCAGACCATGCAGGTGTATGGATCGTCCCTAGACACGGATGCTTGCTTTATGTGGATACTTTGTTTCTTATGCCGACTGGCTGAATGTCTGTCTGGGGGTTGCTACCTGGCGTCCTGACTGATTATTTTCCATTTCTGATTTTGCCATCCTGATTCCTTTCATGCCATTGACTTTTGTTTGGGTAGTCGAAATTAGAACCTACATGAGTATACCGGCAGACGGCATATGGAACTCAGACTGGGAACATAGGCTAAATGCTATAGCTATCTAATTACACCTGCTATGAATTTGGCCCATTGATTACTACGATGCAAGTGCAACATTATCTTTAGGCGGTGTGATGGAAGAGGGTGTTATTATGGAGTGTTCCGTTATTATGGGAGGGTGGGAGGGTTTTGGGAACCGTTTTCTGGGTCGGTTATGTATCCTGAAGGATGAAGGCCGGTGTTTCTTTGTGTCAAGTGGCACAAGTGGGATGTGGGATTTATCATTGTAGATCTATTTACATAGTGATTTATTACCACAGTAAATTAAATGTATGTTCTGTCCGTATTTGTTACGGACTAGCCTATAACATGTTTAGGCTATAAACCTTGGAAAGGCTATACTTTATGAGGGAATCAAACTCCATGACCAATTTTCAAAAGAAATATCCACGTAGGCTACTGTAATTTCTAGGTTTGTGTCAATTTTGTGTGAATATCCTAAACGCTGTTTGTAATAGACTTAGGTCCTATTATTTATGCGGTAGGCAAGCATAGACTAATGAGTTGTGCTCCACCCTAAAATTAGTCGATTTTTTTGTTGTTGTATCCTGTAGGCTATTTGTTTCTATTCTATATATGGAAGGCATATTGCTGTAACTTCATTCATTCATTAATCCTAAATCCTAGAACACTGTCAGATGTGGGTCAGTAGAAGTGATGGATAACCAATGGTTGGGGCATATTTCCTTCCTCCCACCTTTCAAAATGAACATGATATGACGTTTTAGACATCCGCTGTCTGCCTTTACAATTGGCCTAAATTTGAGTCTGAGCATTCATGTGCAAGATGTCATCTAGTCATCATTTTATATAGATGATCTCAGCTCCAAATCTGGAGCCATGAGGATAGAGAGCATGTGGTAAACTTGCTGGCTGCCGCACCCACACTGTCACATACTTTACCACTCCCACACCCACACCCACCTAGACACACACACATAAAGAGGGGGAGTCCCTGGGGGATATTGATCATATTATTCATATTAATCCAAGAAATATTATAGTATTGGAATATTTTAATGTTCTGATGCAATAAGAAATTCCTCTATGTCTCGTACCACAGTACACTTCTACAATATGTATGTACAGGTTCAGTTTATAATGTGCTACATTTAGTTTTTAGAATTAAAAAAATGATGGAATTCTGTTATGGATGAAAAGTGTGAACCAGTGTGTGACTTGTTGAACAGTTTTAGTCCAGACAGACAGACAGCTAAGCTAAGGGATGTTTGGTCATACTCAGTGACAGACACAGCCTCAGGCCCATTAGTTGATGTCACAACAGCTTGGCCATGCCAAGTTGAGAACACAATGTTTACTGTGTTATAGCTTGTTTTAGAACACAGCGATTCATTTGTGTTCTTCAGTGGGTCACTCCCCCCTCACATCTGAATGTAATGCCAATGACAGATAGTAGTACCATAGCTTGTATGCCTAGTTGTAGTTGAAGTGTTGTGGTATAACTGGTCAGAAACTAATACCATTCTCCATGAGAGTGAAACATAGTTTTTTTTGTCTGCGTGTCTCTCTTCCAGAGAAAATATGCAGAGATATACAAAAAAATGGTTATTCTTCTACAATATCAATTTTGGGGTTGTAACTCCCTGCCCCACAAATGAGAAAATCATGGTAGTGTTTTTGTTAACCCTTCACTTCTAATCTCTCTCTTCCAGAGCCATCATGTCTTCCAGTTCAGCGACAACCAGGATCCTAATCAAGGGTGGCAAGGTGGGTATGTTGTGTTGACTGTTGTTGTTGGTGGTGAAGATCTCAGTGGGATCGAAAAATGGTGATTGTGAAGCATTACAGAATTACAAATATTACCTGTTTCATTTATGCATTTTCTTCTGTCCAGCACCTGATTCTCTCCAGGATCTGATTAGTGCATATATTTTTCCTTTTGCCACCAGGTGGTGAACGATGACGTTACGCTGGAGGCGGATGTGTACATCGAGAACGGCATCATCCAGCAGGTGGGGGAGGGGCTGATGATCCCAGGAGGGGCCAAGGTGATTGACGCCTCCGGGAAACTGGTCCTCCCCGGGGGGATCGACACCAGCGTGCACCTGCAGCAGAGTTTCATGAACGCTACCACCGTGGACGACTACTACAGCGGCACCAAGGTATGGATGGTTTACAGCTGTTCTACTACTGTCTGTGAGGTTGAGAAGAAATACCCACGCTTAAGGACACTGGCATTATCCTCAGTAACCTTGTATAGGCAGTGCAGGATGGATCTCCCATCTGAGTCTGGTTCCTCTCCAGGTTTCTTCCTTCTAGGGAGATTTTCTTTGCAACTGTGCTGCCGCTTGCTCTGGAGATTTAGGCAGGGTTACAGAACAAAACCTTGTGATATGTTGTAGCAAAAAGGGCTGTATCAATCACATTTGATTGGTTGGTTCATTGAGAAAAAGGTCTGTGTGTGTATTTTGGTAGAAACCTGCGGCAGGGTTTGTCTAGCAGTGCCAAATACTCAGTTACAACAATTAAAATCCCAGTGGGAAGAAAAATGGTTGCAATGACATCATTATTACAATTTTTTATTTTTAACTAGGCAAGTCAGTTAAGAACAAATTCTTATTTACAATGACGGCCTACACCGGCCAAACCCGGGCCAATTGTGCGCCGCCCTATGAGACTCCCAATCACGGCCGGTTGTGATACAGCCTGGAATCGAACCAGGGAGTCTGTAGTGATGCCTCAAGCACTGAGATGCAGTGCCTTAGACCACTGCGCCACTCAGGAGCCCACAATACCCTCTGGGAATTTAGTAATACATTATACTAATAGGGTGGGTCATTGAACTGAACTGAATGATGAACTAAATGATAGCAACTATTGGAACAAGAGGCAGTATTGTCTTGTATATTGATTAGAACCAACATGGTGGTATATGTATTGAAAGACAGATACATAATTACTATGTACCATTTAATACACAATAATTGGCCCAGTCTTGCGGGAACCCAGTGGACCACCATCTACCATGGCAACTAAATAAACTCATCTTCCCAGCTTGCCTTGCAGTGTGAGAAAATAACCTCAGACTTAAGGTGGAGACAGACTCTGAATCCCAAGTCAACCTCTAGCCCCTTATCCCTTCATCCCTAGACACTCCTTTCCTGTAGATGTGAAAGATTTGGATAGGTGTAAGCAATAGGCCCTAAGGCCAAAACCCCACTCAGCCTATCAGAAGGCACATTGAAGTAATTACCATATTGCCAATGAATTACTCTTTGATCTACAGAAGTAGCTAGGAGCTAGCGGTTGATTAGGGATTTGGGTAGAGACCAAGAAATATTCAGAGAACTACTACAGTATTAAACTGGGCGTGGTTCAGACTCAGAGATGCTGCTTTGATTTAGACAAAGATAGTGGATACATAAGGCTGCTGACTCAAGTTATCTATTATATAATATTCTCTGTTTTTCTGAGTCATCTTTATTTTATTTTATTACATATCTCACCTACCCCATAAATGGTTTATATAGATAATGTGGCAGAAAGCTGTGGAATCGGTAGCAGGGTGTGCTGATGCAGTCAGACAGAAGGGTACTGAACAGACTGGAGAGAGAAGATGGAGGAGGGATAGCGAGAGATAGATAGATAGAGAGGGAGAGAGAGGGAGGGAGAGGGAGAGAGAGGGAGATCGAGAGAGAGAGAGAGAGAGAGAGAGCGAGAGAGAGAGAGAGAGAGCGAGAGAGAGAGAGAGAGAGAGAGAGAGAGAGAGAGAGAGAGAGAGAGAGAGAAAAGATGGTGCAGGGATAGAGAGAGATAGAGAGAGAGACAGAGAGACAAAGATAGAATGAGAGAGAGAGAGCAAGAGAGAGAGCAAGAGAGAGAGAGAGATAAGATGGTGGAGGGGCACAGACTGAGACTGGGGCTATCCCAGATCAGGGCATGCATGACTCATCAATTATCATTCTCTACCACCCAGAGATGACATATAGAGTCTGAGAACATAGCTGTGTTTTAGACATTAATGACAAGCTAGCCAAGGAGATGTTATCATTCTGCTATACTGGCGTTGGCAGATCCTGGCGACACAGGCACTATTTTCTGCTCCCCCCGCCCGCCGTTGCTGCTGCCGTGCTGCCCGGCTAGAGTACAGAGACAAATGCAGATCAGTTTCTGTTTCCATGGCTACCGTCTGGTTGCTGCAAAGACTGCTGCGAAGCCTTTTCACTCAGGCCATTGTGCTTGAAGACAATAGTTCTCAAACACACTAGACACACCGCCAACCCTTACCAGACACTACTCCACTCTCTCTATTGTCAGCTGACTGAAAGATGCTATTTGGAGCATTCACTTAGCTACACATAGTAACAGACTACCAGTATTTTAAAGGATTTATATAGAATGTATTTGTTGTTTACATCAGTATCAACCTGGTTTTGTAAGGATTTAGTACATTCACAAATATGTAATGGAGCAGTAGTGAAGCTTTCATATCTTGGAATCTATGAATATAGAAATGTATCCTCTTTAATAATACCTTTTTTTTTTTACTATTTTGATGGCCATACAATGTATTCTTCATTCCTACATTTCCGATCTAGTATGTCTGCCTCTGCTTCAGATAGACAGCCCTAAATGGATAGCTGATTGATAGTGTAATAAACAATGAAAGGACTGACAGTTTCTTGATATACGTTAGCTCACAGACCATCATCATGGCTGTAATACCTCTTCATTATACCCCACGGGTTATCTCCCAGTCCCCTTCCCATGTTCCAATCTAGTTATTGATATATGTTTTTCACATCCCACCCAGTAAATAAACATTAGGGGTAATTGACACCTTTTACTGTTGGTTTTAAACCTGAGGTATATTGGCATGTTAATTATGTCTTGCCCCTGAATTTATAGAGAATAATCGATGCATGCATTAACCCTATACAGTCATTGGCATTAACCCTATACAGTCATTGGCATTAACCAGACCGGACATCATCATGGAGCCTCTGGCTAGCGACACTTACATGTATTGTGTCTCAGTGGCCTCCTACTTATAAACCATTTACAAACCCTTTTATAAAGTATTTCTTAATGTAACGTAGTACCTATACTGAACAAAAATATAAACGCAACATGCAACAATTTCAATGATTTTACTGAGTAACAGTTCATATAAGGAAATCAGTCAATTTAAATCAATTCATTAGGCCCTAATCTATGGATTTCACATGACTGGGCAGGGGCACAGCCATGGGTGGGCTTGGAGGGCATAGGCCCACCTACTGGGGAGCCAGGCCCAGCCAATCAGAATGAGTTTTTCCCCACAAAAGTACTTTATTACAGACAGAAATACTCCTGAAGTTGGTGGGCCTTGTACGCAAAATTTGAGAGAAATAATATTTTTGTGCGTATGGAACATTTCTGGGATATTTTATTTCAGCTCATGAAACATGGGACCAACACTTTACATGTTGCGTTTCTGTTTTTGTTCAGTATAATATACCTTTATGTAAAGTGGGATCCATAGTTGTAATGTGTGTGTCTTCTCTGATCTGAGATACTGGTGGTTTTGTCTACAGGCAGCCCTGGCTGGAGGTACCACCATGGTTATAGGACATGTATTACCAGAGAAGAATGAATCTCTACTTGAGGCCTACGAGAAGACCCGCTCCCAGGCCGACAATAAAGCCTGCTGCGATTACGCCCTTCATATGGGGGTCACCTGGTGGGGGCCCAAGGTAACTGTCACACTCCCTTGATAACTGATGTTTATACCCTTTTCATTTTACTGAGCTAAGATGAACCTAGCGGAGCTGATCTGTACTGCACTGACCTGGTTACACATCCACCATATTTGCTGGAACTGTGCTGCAAAAGTCACTGAAAGGAAAATATCCAAGCCAGCACACTACGATTCAGGTTGGCACGATAGTGTGAAAAGGTATGACTCCTGACTAGGGCTGTGGAGGTCATGACATTTTGTTAGCCTGTGATTGTCAAGCAAATAACTGCCGGCTCTCCGTCACGTGATCAGGTCTTTCTCACAGGCTACATACAAGTGAAGACAGACACATCGGGGACGCAACTGCGCGCGTCCTTATCCAATTCCGAGGCGCACATTGAAGATATTGGGAGAACTGTCCACATTTACTTTTCGTCAGCCAAAAGCACTAGCCTATGTCAATCTAATATCCCCCATAGTACAAAAGTTGACCTATTCTATTCTGTGAGATAAATAAATATTCCAAACATAGTCTGGGACAGTTGTGGGATGTGATAGATCCCAAATTAATACAACCACTAGCATCAAAAAACCTTTTTTAAGCAATGAGCCTGACACAACAGATCAGAACGTTTAGCTTAAAATGTTGATTAAATATTCGGCTATTTCTTCACATTATAAACTCAGCAATGCGCACACGGCAATAGGCTATAAGCGTGAATGTTCCATTAGCAGGAAAACACCATTCTCAAAAGTGACCGCAAATGTGATTATGCATGTAATGCTTTTATTATCAAGATGCATTTTTATGGTGAAAATGATCTTCCCCAAACTTGAAACTCACACGCTGCGTATGTATGCCAGGTAGGGTCTACACCCATTGTATTGCGGATTAATGTGCTTCATTTTAAGAAGTTATTTGGCCACTTTAGTTGTGATACAAACCTTAACAAAACATATAGGCCAATGGGCTAAGCTACATGAGGTGTGCGACTATGATTAGAAAAAGTCGCCAAAAAAAAGGCATGTGCTGTTTCTTGCCATAAGCTGTGCATCATTCACAAGTGATAATATATAATTCACAAGTGATAGGCTAATATTGTCACCCATCAGACTATACTTGATTTAATCATTACATATACTAAATAATATACAGTACCAGTCAAAAGTTTGGACACACCTACTCATTCCATAGTTTTGATGTCTTCACTATTATTCTACAATGTAGAAAATAGTGCAAATAAAGAAAAACCCTTGAATGAGTAGATGTGTCCAAACTTTTGACTGGTACTGTATGTGTGAAATTTGTTTTGATTTAGAACAGACCATTATCATGCACCTGTCTCGAAACAGGGGCAGGGGAAAAAAATACATGTAATCTATGCACTTAAATAGAGAATGGAGGACATGTTTCCCATGGTTCATTTTCATGCCAGCCAGGTAGGCTATTCTCCTGTTGTAAAGAGAAGCAATGTGCTTAATATTAGGAAAGTTGAGAAATAAATATAGTAGGCCTAGCCTATAGAAAGCTGATGGGATCCTCCTCTTTTTAATAGAGGCCATCACTCTGTTTTCTCACGCAATTGCATAGTCTATAGAAATGTTGCACAACATGAGCTCATGGGCTCTCATGAAGTGTTTGATTAGATTTTCGATTACATTTTAATTGATGTCAGAGTGATTAGAGGGACAGTAGAGTGCTGAGTACCAGGCAGTTAGCAAGTTTGGTAGGCTACTAATGACCATCAGCAGCATCAGATCTTGGAGAAGACTAATTACAGTGACTAAACGGTCACGTGCAATTTGACCGCCGTCATGACTCGTGACCGCCGGTGTGGTGGTAATACAGTCACTTTAACAGCCCTACTCCTGTCTGTGTTCATCTTGTTCAGGTGAACTCTAACCTCTAACCCCTGACCTGTAGGTGCGTGCTGAGATGGAGAGCCTGGTAAGAGATAAAGGGATCAACTCGTTCCAGATGTTCATGGCCTATAAGGACCTGTTCATGCTGAGGGACTCAGAGCTCTTCCAGGCCCTACAGAACTGTAAGGACATCGGGGCCGTGGCCCGCGTACATGCAGAGAACGGAGAACTAGTGGCCGAGGTGAGTCTCAGACAATGGTTCAATATGTAGTCCCATATCAATTACTTTTCTTCCATCATATCTTTGATCAGAAATAAATACAACAAAGTCAGCTTAATTTCATTAATTACTTTTAAAAACCCTTACTTATTTATCCAACTGTAAGAAATTGGCTGACACAAACCGTTTACACAAGTGTGGTAGGGTCCCCTGTAGCTCAGTTGGTAGAGCATGGCGCTTGCATTTAACATTTTAGTCATTTAGCAGACGCTCTTATCCAGAGCGACTTACAGGAGCAATTAGGGTTAAGTGCCTTGCTCAAGGGCACATCGACAGATTTCACCTAGTCGGCTCGGGGATTAGAACCAGCGACCTTTCGGTTACTGGCACAACACTCTTAACCACTAAGCTACATGCCGCTTGCAACGCCAGGGTTGTGGTTTCGTTTCCCACGGTGGCCAGTATGAAAATGTATGCACTCACTAACTGTAAGTCGCTCTGGATAAGAGCGTTTGCTAAATGACTAAAATGTAAATGTGTGGGAAACTTACTGGTACTGGTTTTACAGAGGGACTGCCACCACAGTAAGTAGTATGGATGTGGGTACGCAGACCCACAAGCCACTGCGGCCCATCATGATGAGTTCTGTTTTTTTTGTGGCCCCCACCATCATCAAAGTAGCCCATCCCTGCCATAGAGTTAAAATTACTTGAAAGGACATTCAACGTTCCATGATGGATGAACCCGGCGGCCATATTTAGTGTACATCCTATTTCTATCAGCACATACACCAGGATTCCTGTGTGTTTTCTAGGGCGCCAAAGAGGCATTGGACCTGGGAATCAGCGGCCCAGAAGGCATTGAGATCAGCAGGCCAGAGGAGGTAAGACATACTATAAAAGTGTCTGCTAATTGGCATATATTATTATTATATATTGTAGTCTGAGCTCATAATGGACACTCCTTGTATTTCGTTCATGACTTCATAGACAAAGCCATCAATGGAACCAATTTCAAGGAGTTATATTACAACTGCAGTTTTATAGTCTTATTGTTATCCAGTGAAGCATTTCCAGTGCCTATGTTATAGATATCAGCCCTTCATAATATTGTAATGACCCTAGCATTGAGGAGTGTCTTATACTAACTCAATACAATATCCGGTTGTTTTGTCTTTCTCACAGCTGGAGGCAGAGGCCACCCATCGAGCGATCACCATCGCCAATAGGGTGAGTGTGTTTTTCTGTGTCAAGTTGTTGCATTTTCTTTATCATCAAGCACTTCAGCACAATGATAACTGCCCCCGAAATACCCTGCAATATCTAGAAATAGTCATGGGCATTTTGCGTGTTTATTTCTGGTGAAACTCTCTCTAAAACATGTTGTCTCGCTCTCTGTCATTCTCCCTCAGGCCCACTGTCCTATCTACCTTGTCAACGTGTCCAGCATGTCAGCAGGAGATGTGCTCGCCACAGCCAAGATGCAGGGTAAGGCCAAGGCATATCTGTCTTGTCATATCCTGCCCTGCCCTGCCCCTTCCTGTACAGATCACAGATTACTTTTCATGTGGTTTGCGACCCTCTGCTGGCTTGGTCTGGGCTGATCTTCACCACAAGTGCTTTTGGAACCCCACCCGTCTGTCTGTCTGTCTTGTACAGTAACTGGCCACACTACACATCACTACACACGACACATCACAGATATGTATGAACCCATCTATGTAATCTGTCTGTAGGTAAAGTAGTCCATGGGGAGACCACCACGGCACATGCGGTGCTGAACGGCCTGCAGTACTACCACCAGGACTGGGCCCATGCTGCAGCCTACGTCACAGTGCCTCCTCTACGCCTGGACCCAAACACACCCAACTACCTGATGAGTCTACTGGGAAAGTAAGAGCACACATACATAAATACACACACACACACACACACACACACAAACAACTATCTGATGAGTCTACATGGGAATTAAGTGTAACACATATCCTTTGTACCCTGCTGAAGGTGATTTATTTAGCGAATGTGATGTCCCCTGAACGTCTGTGAAATTGCCTTTAAATTCTACCGCTGTGCACAGATCGTACATCTGCGTTGGATTGAATCCAGGCACCAGTCTTAACAGCTCTTGTAGCTCTCATTAATATATATATACATTATTTTAGCTGTTTGCATTCAATGGTATTATAAAATGTCAACAAAATTTCCCCCATGACCCGTCCTCTCCTCCTTCTCTCTGGGCTTTACCAGTGACACCCTGAACGTAGTGTTATCAAATCGAAGTTAATACAATATATATTTGCATTCTCTAAATGTTTCCCCTGACCTATCCTCTCCTCCTTCTCTCTGACCCACTACAGTGACACGCTGAACGTAGTGGTGTCTGACCACCGTCCCTTCACCACTAAACAGAAGGCTATGGGCAAGGATGACTTCACAAAGATCCCCCACGGAGTCCCGGGCATCCAGGACCGCATGAGCGTCATTTGGGAGAGAGGAGTGGTAAGCAAACATGATGTATCTCTACTGTTTGTGCGTAGGCAAACCTCTACGGCTGTATAGAAAGACAACAGAAATATTAGATCTGCAATTGTGACTGCTGTAACTAACTGCTACCTTGATACCATGTTGCAGTCGGCAATGTATCTGTTGCAATATTTGTTGTGCATGTTCCCTGTCAAATACATATGCTGTTTGAGTCTAGTGCTTGACATCTTGATAACAGAATTGCTCCCTCTGCCCTCTCCCTTTGACATGGAACATTTTGATTCTTTGCTACTGTAGGTTGGAGGCAAGATGGACGAGAACCGTTTTGTTGCAGTGACCAGCTCCAACGCAGCTAAGATCTACAACCTGTATCCCAGAAAGGGTAGGATCATCCCAGGGGCTGACGCTGACGTGGTGGTCTGGGACCCTGAAGGGACCAAGTATGTAACCATATCCACTATCCACTCCCTCCCTCCCTTCTCACTACTACCGCTAAAGCGATCCTTTACCCTATGGGGGATGCTAAGGTTTTTATTTTACACACTCTTAGAATTAGTGGTGACTCGAGGAACCATTGTTAGTAAATGGTTCATATTTGCACCTTCGGTTAGTTGAGGGGTTCTTGTAGGAATCTTTAATGGTTCAATGTAACAACAGGTTCCTGGAGGAACCCTGGAGTGGAGGTGTGGCTTAGTAGGGGTGTGGCTTTAAGATAGATATATTTTGGGCCACCTGTTAGAGTAAATGTAATTCCTGTTCATGTGTTCTGTTGTATTGTCATCACAAGGTTGAACACTGACAGTTTTGCAGCGTCAATGAGGCTAACAGAGGTGAGTTTCTCAAGAGCCTATGCAATCCCAAAAGTTGGAATAGTTACAACTGTATTATATGTAATCAGTAATGTTAATATTATATAAAAATATGTAATATGCAAAAATGTTCAAGGATTTAGTGTTGTTGTTGCAGTATTCAAACGTTACATGATGAACAGGAATGACATTTACATTAACGGGTGGCCAAAAAGAACTATCCGAAAGCCACGCCTCCAATAAGCCACGCCTCCTATCTGATAGGCTGACACATCTACAATATATTATTAAAAAGGAGGAAAAAAAAATCCCAACACAAAAAGGTTCCGGTTTGAACCTTTAAACAGGGGTTCCTCAAATACACTTTTCAGAACCTTTTTGAACTAGAAAGGTTATGCCGGTGTGGCAACTCATAAGGTTCTTCCAGGCACATTTACCTCTAATAATAATAATAATATATGCCACTTACCAGATGCTTTTCTTACCAACTGAGCCACACAAGACCAATAACCTATCGTATGTGTTAAGAATATATATTTCTCTGTGTCCAGGACCATCTCTGTGGACACACAGGTGCAGGGTGGAGACTACAACCTGTACGAGAGTCTTCGTTGCCATGGTGTCCCCCTGGTTACCATTAGCCGTGGTCGGTTGGTCTATGAGAACGGAGTGTTCACGTGCTCCGAGGGCTCTGGGAAGTTCTATCCTCTCAGAACCTTCCCTGACTACCTCTACAAGAAGATGGTGCAGCGGGAGAAGGTATTGTAAAAAGCCATCAACAGGATGTGGATTTGAAAATGTTCCTTTACCCATGAATTTTGCAGCAGACAAAAGGTGATCTTTGAATCGCATAAACTTTCTATACCTGCTTCAGATTGTCTTGATTGTCATCAAGTATTATTAATGTGTTATTACTGTGTGTATAACCAGAGACTAATGATTGTGTGTGTCTATGTAATTATTGTGTGTGTCTATGTAATTATTGTGTGTGTCTATGTAATTATTGTGTGTGTCTATGTAATTATTGTGTGTGTCTATGTAATTATTGTGTGTGTCTATGTAATTATTGTGTGTGTCTATGTAATTATTGTGTGTCTCTCTCTCCTCAGTGTCAGGCCCTGAAGCCCGTGGAGCGTGAGCCCTACGTAGGAGACGTAGCATTGATGAATTCTGGGAAGAAGGACTGTGGACAATGTGATGGGGACACTCCAACACGACCACACACCAAGCACGGAGGACAGAGAGACCTGCATGAGTCCAGCTTCAGCCTCTCTGGTAACACACACACACACATATCACTTTGCAATTTGGGATTGTATAATTTGCATCTCTGCCTCTAAGGCCTATATAACTTTATTAATCACCAGCTCTAATGCAGTATCTACTATATCTATGTGTTTCAATCTCCACTGGTAAGATGCACAATTAGCTACATTTTGTTAACCTGACAGATTGTTATTTCCCACTTTTTGTTTTATCAATCTCTCCAGGTGCCCAGGTCGATGATAAAATCCCAAAGAGATCTTCTGCGAGGATTCTGGCCCCCCCAGGTGGTCGATCCAGTGGCATCTGGTAACTGTGGAAGAGTAGTGAGTTCTAGAACCAAACAGTTACTGTAGTTCTCTATTAGAATGAAGAATGAAACCTGAAGGGAAGTTCAGGGCCAACCAAGACAAACTGCTTGTTACGTTCACCCAGAAAGCATAGAAAGCAAAGAAAACCTTACATGTTATTTCAAAAACGAACTCACGTATTTAGTGTATATATGATGACAGGGTCTGAGTAACATTTATATGACATTGATGTCATTTTAATATTTGTTGGAATATCTGCCTGTATGGTCGAACCCTGAACAATATTGGGCTTAACAAATTTTAGACAAATCGAAACTAAATTTGCACGGTAGCTAAGTTGCTAGTTGACTGTTTTGGATACATGTATGTATGTTAGAGAAAGTACTCTATGTCATTATACACTAATGGTTTTAGGGGGATGATGGGGTTGAGTTGATAATTGGTTTACCTCACTGTTTAACCTACAATATTGCACTTGTATCATGTACTACTTAGCTGCCTTTTCCTTACATGATTTTATGTGTAACAAAACAACTTTTTCTACCAATACAGAACTGTCATGAATTCACGTGATTAGTTATTTACTACACAATATCTCAAAGCACTTGACATGATATAACGTGGATATCATAATTTATGTGTGAAACACCTATTTTCTTTTCCGGTTCCTTCATGATTCCATTTGTCTAATATTGACGAAAACTCAAATGCAAGCTGATACTTTTAAATTGTTTTGTATCTTACAATGTTATTTGAAAAGATGTCCCTTTAGATCACTGTCAAAAGTATAATCATGAGTCCTGAACAACTAAGGATGACATAGCTCATCAAAATACGTAGGCTAAGTAAGTTCAGAGTTTTTATAGCTTCTATGTTGCTGTTTACAGTTTAATATAGTAGCACTCCTTCCTGGTCATCTCATCTCCCATCAATGTGAATGAACCTCCGCTGTGTTTACTGTATGTATGTTGTGGCATAGAACACTTATATGTGAGGCACTGATATGACTCATATTTAGCAGCATTCTATGTGTAAGTGGTGGTATGATATTTCTTTACTTTTTTCTGTCTGTTAGCGATAAGTTAGTTAGCTCCACTCTGAAATGCCTTTTTCTCACAAGAGAAGTCTCACATTAAACACATATACAGTTACTAGAGATAACATGTTTATCATTGGGATTCCTCTTAGGATGTGCAAACTAACTACTGAGCACATAACACGTTTTATTACTTTGAGTTTCTTTTTTTAATTACGACACTGAGGAATTCTGGTCTTGCACTGAAAAGTATTTGACAGTTTTGTATATCTTTTGGGTTGACATTTCCAAGGTTGTAACACTGTCGATTGGGTAAGAGAAGTGCATGATCTATAATTTGATTGAATCTTGGGTATTATAATGGCAATGTAAATATACAAATGCAAGTTCTTCAGGTTTGTTATGTGTTTATGTCATAATGTCATTCAACAATGCACTGTCGTTATATTACTGGATGGCATGCTTATTCAAGATTGTGTCAACGAAAACCACTGATGTGTTTTTGTTTCAAATTGTCTTGACACTGTTCCATTGTAAGCTACTGAGAACATATCATGTGAGTTTTATTTGTGAAGAATATACTTTATTGTTTTGCCATAGTCCAAACCACACTGTACATGATATCACTGCAGTGTAAGAGGTCCTTACTGGTGCTGAATAGCCTACTGTGTTTTCACTGAGGTTTTGTTTTGTTTTATCCTATGTGTTGCAGCTCTTTATCACATGATTGAGTGCAAATAAACCACACGGAAATTTCAAGTTTGAATTGTGTTTCTTTAAAAACTAAAAAACATAATAGGACCTATTGCCTATACTGTATTTGGCAAATGAGGTTCAATACATTGCAATGTATGTACAATTGTGTTTCTTTAGCATATAATTATTCTTATTGGCAGACTAAATAGCCTTGGTTTCTCAAATGACTGCCTCGCCTGGTTCACCAACTACTTCTCAGATAGAGTTCAATGTGTCAAATCGGAGGGCCTGTTGTCTGGACCTATGGCAGTCTCTATGGGGGTGCCACAGGGTTCAATTCTTGGGCCGACTCTTTTCTCTGTGTATATCAATGACGTCGCTCTTGCTGCTGGTGACTCTCAGATCCACCTCTACGCAGACGACACCATTTTGTATACATCTGGCCCTTCATTGGACACTGTGTTAACAAACCTCCAAACGAGCTTCAATGCCATACAACACTCCTTCAGTAGCCTCCAACTGCTCTTAAACACTAGTAAAACTAAATGCATGCTCTTCAACCGAACGCTGCTTGCACCCGCCCACCCGACTAGAATCACTACTCTCGACGGGTCTGACCTAGAGTATGTGGACAACTACAAATATCTAGGTGTCTGGTTAGACTGTAAACTCTCCTTCCAGACTCACATTAAGAATCTCCAATCCAAAGTTAAATCTAGAATCGGTTTCCTATTTCGCAACAAAGCCTCCTTCACTCATGCTGCCAAACATGCCCTCGTAAAACTGACTATCCTACCGATCCTTGACTTCGGCGATGTCATTTACAAAATAGCCTCCAACACTCTACTCAGCAAATTGGATGTAGTCTATCACAGTGCCATCCGTTTTGTCTCCAAAGCCCCATATAATACCCACCACTGTGACCTGTACGCTCTTGTTGGCTGGTCCTCACTACATATTCGTCGCCAAACCCACTGGCTCCAGGCCATCTATAAATCACTGCTAGGCAAATCCCCGCCTTATCTTAGCTCATTGGTCACCATAGCAACACCCACCCGTAGTCTGCGCTCCAGCAGGTATATCTCACTGGTCATCCCCAAAGCCAACACCTCCTTTGGCCGCAATTCCTTCCAGTTCTCTGCTGCCAATGACTGGAACAAATTGCAAAAATCTCTGAAGCTGGAGACACTTATCTCCCTCACTAACTTTAAGCATCAGTTGTCAGAGCACCTTACCGATCACTGCACCTGTACACAGCCCATCTGAAATTAGCCCACCCAACTACCTCATCCCTATATTGTTATTTATTTTGCTCATTTGTACCCCAGTATCTCTATTTGCACATCATCTCTTGCACATCTATCATTCCAGTGTTAATACTAATTGTAATTATTTTGCACTATAGCCTATTTATTGCCTTACCTCCATAACTTGCTACATTTGCACACACTGTATATATATGTATTTCTGTTGTATTTTTGACTTTGTTTTGTTTTACCCCATATGTAACTCTGTGTTGTTGTTTTTATCGCACTGCTTTGCTTTATCTTGGCCAGGTCGCAGTTGTAAATGAGAACTTGTTCTCAACTGGTTTACCTGGTTAAATAAAGGTGAAATAAAATAAAAATAATAAAAAATAATAATAATAATAGCCTATAATATGATAGAATAGAATAGCTAGAATATAATAGGGTTTATCAATGGTGAATAAAACGACCTCAATAACCACATTGGTCTTTAGCAAAGCCCTATGTAACTGTAAGTACATGTAGGCTAGTGACTACTCCCTATAATAGGTCAAAGTCCTATTTATATATTTACCATAGACGCACCTCTAACAGCATGTCGTACGCATGCGCATTAGTTCCTGGATTGTTGCTGACGAAACGTCGGTAGTGGTGGGGTCCGTGCTATCTGGGATTCCTTGAGACGTCCATAACCTTTTGAAGTTGACATTTAAAATGGTTACGGTTAGGGTTAGTTAGAGGTGAATGTAGATTTATTTTCTTCCCGGTACCGGACCTCCTAAATGCGCGTGCATCAAAAAAATGTATGGGCCTAATCATGTATAATCTCTATTAGCCTAATTCAATAGGATCTCTGTGGGCCTAGTCGTAAAGATTCGTCATTTAACTTTTTTAATGTATTACCTTTTTATAGAGGCCTAAACACAACCAGTCATGATGTTTTCATCTGATTGTCAAACAATCTCTTCAAAGGGCTCCTTTACTAGGCTACCCACGCACGTTCATCCACTTACAACATATTTCCAGCCTCCAAACAGTGGTGAATGCAAAGAGACATCGTTTAAACAAAACACCAAAAGGTGTAGTGCTGATGACATTTGGCCACTGCCATTAGTCCAGAATGTTTGCAGCCACTGCCATTAGTCCAGAATGTTTGCAGCCACTGCTGTCCGTGTGCGTCTCGGTGCATCTCTGTCTTGGCAAGATGCAAATGTTCTTGTCGAACGACATTGCATTTTGGAGCGTAGGGTTGCAGCCTGGTCTCATATATTAGACGTAACATAGTACACGTAAATCCAGAGAATCATATTATTTTGTTTGTTAAATTTGGTAATTACATGAGACAGATGGTTACTTAAGGCAAAAAACGAATTGTAGGGGTGGATGGATGCGAGTATAACGTGAAGGCCTAGCAACCCAAAGGCTGCATGTTTTAATTTAATCACAAACAACTTTTGCATTTTAGCTAATTAGCAACTTTTCAACTACTTACTGCTTTTTAGCTACTTTGCAACTACTTAGCATGTTAGCTAACCCTTCCTCTAACCCTAACTTTAAGCATTTTAGCTAACCCTTCCCTAACCCTAATCTTAACCCTTTTAGCAAACCTTTCCCCTAACCCTAACCTTAACCTTAACCCTTTAACCTAACTCCTAAACTTAACCCTAACCTTAACCCTAACCCCTAGCCTAGCTATTGTTAGCCAGCTAGCTAACATTAGCTACCTAGGCACCTAGCTAGAATTCGGAACATATACATTTAGAAAATTCGTAACATATAGTACTTTTAACAAATTCGTAACATTTTACATTTACATTTTAGTCATTTAGCAGACGCTCTTATCCAGAGCGACTTACAGTTAGTGATAGCATAATTTTTTTTTCATACGTTTTGCAAATTTGTAACATATCATACTAATTGTAATTCGTAACATATCATACAAAATGGTTGATGGACATCCACAAATTAATACATACCATACGAAACGTAACATATCATCATTAATTATGTTTTGTTTTACGTACAGAATAATACGAAATGCTATGAGACCAGGTTGCAGCCATACCACCCGTTTTTAAATCCATTCGCAAATTTTTCATGTCTCTGACATACGGTAATGATAAATAATGGTGTAACAGCCTACAGTTTTCTTGACATTTTGTTTTCATTATTGTGATAGGCTCACTATTTATTTTGCCGGGACGCCGTACCGGAACTTACCGCCTTACTTTCACCCCTTGGGTCAGTGAGGTTTACGGTATGGACGTCCCAAGGATCCCGGATAGCACTGACGAAGTGGTGGGGGCGGCCCGTTACTAACCAGTGGACGGCGCAGGAGCTCTGGCAACAACGACAGCGGAGGATTGGAGCGTAGGAATACTGCCAGCGAAATAACAACAGAGAAAGATAGCTCTCGGAATACAGTGAGTAATGCATTTTTTACCAAAACACTGCATTTGCCTTTGCAAATTAGACATTTTATGCTTGCCTTTTGCATTTTTAGGGCTTAATATGGTGCCTCTTGTCCATTCAGTCAGGATATTTCGTTTACAGTGACAGTCCTCTTTTCGGAGAGGCCTGCAGAGGGGGCCCTGCTCCTTGGATAGCAACTGTAACATTGCAGGGTTTTGTTTCTTTACACCTAATGCTAATTGGGCAAATGTATTGTTCTCTAAGCATGCAATAAGGGATCAATTTACGACGAAAAAATACCGAATAAATTAATATATTTTGTGAACCTTATATAGAGTGAGATTGCGCACCGTTCTGTAAAGGCCTAGAATAAGGTTTAGAGACGACAATAAAATTGACTCCTCGCAAGATAGTGTCTGTGGTGTTTATGGTTGCTTGTAATTGGGCTTTTATTACAGTAGAATAGTCATGATGATTGAATAACCCTTTACATACAGCCCTCTATAAAACAGTAAACGGCAGGTGGAGTAGGCTTACTGTCCGTTATAGGCTACAATTAGCCTACCTAATTGTGCGGCCCGGTGGGACTTTGACAGATAGGCAGACTAGTGCTATTCAATCCACGCTCCTGGGATGTGCACGGATTGTATATCGCTATGCAATCATGTATAATGTTTCTGAGAGCAAGGGCAGACATGGGGAAAGAGCTAGGCCCTTCTCCTCTGTCGGAACAGACTGATCATTCGTTCATATGAATACATTATAATCCTATAATTTAAATGTCATAAAAATATGTACAGTGTAGGCTAACCTTTCTACACGCAACTCGTTGCGTTGGCTAATGCCTTTTCTTTTCGTTTCCAAAAAGGTGATGATACTAGCCTAGGTTATTTATTTTTATCAGGTCATGCATATGTCAAATACATGGCCCATTTCTCTGCACGTATCCACAGATCCTGGGTCAGGTAATAACCGCTAAAAAAATATTTCTGATTGGTTATTATCAGTGCCATCAGCGCCAGTGATTTCTCCGTAGTAATAAGAGATATTGTTTTTTGCTAGAAACGTATCCTAGTAAATACATTATATTCCTAAAACAGCAGAAAGGCAGACACTCCAACTAAACTGACTACGAGATGCGTCCTATCTGTCTGTGCTGCTTTTCTCAAGCACTAGGAAATTCTGTCTAATCTGAGAGGATTATTGTGACAACAGAAGATTAAATGTTAAAAATAAATCACTTCTGCAACATAAAACTAGCCCAGAAGGTGTAGTGTTCACTTCAACATTAGGCATAAGTTAGTTTTTATTTACATTCCTGTTTTGTAGTGATCAAATCTTGCAGACATATAAATACCTTTAGTCAAGGCTGTAGTGTAGACCATGTCAAAGCAAGTTTTGGAACAAAGCCCTCTGTGCTGATGTCTTGTGACCCTGTGAGGAACCCTCATGTTCTCCTCTCTAACAAAGTATGAATTCCTTGATTTTTTTTATAATAGTTCCTTGAATTCCTTGTATTTTTAACCACAAAATTCCTTTTATGTTTTGCAGCACTCATATGCTATGCTATGGAGTTTGCTTAAATGCAGCCCAGTTTAACATCTTTGCGCAAAAAAATGTTTTGGCAGTGAATGTCAAATTGTAATGTATTTTTCTTCTTCATGTATAGAGGATGGCAGTGAATGTGCACGCCACGTCTGTGTCCTGTGACACCCTGAGCCGACATGATATGCTGGCCTGGCTCAACGATTCCCTACACCTCACCTACACCAAAATAGAACAGCTTTGCTCAGGTAGGTCTCCATTCCTGACTTGTGATTTCATTGTGCCTCCAAAGTTATCTATTTTTGGTTTCTTATCTCCACGTAGAGAACACACGAGTTGTTCTCTCATCTCCCAAATAATGTAAATGAATGGCCCTATCCCTTTGGGAAAATCTGGTTGAAATGACATCATTACACTGGTTGTAATTTTGTTATAATCATGACATCATTTCAACCAGTTTTGCCTGCTGGGAAGGACCTCAAGTCCTCAACAAACCCATTCAAATAATGAGTGGAGATGAGATTTCAATTGTGTTGTCTTATACCAGTATGCATCTTTTCTCCTTCTGTTCACCTTCTAGGGGCAGCGTACTGTCAGTTCATGGACATGCTGTTTCCAGGCTGTGTCCTGCTAAAGAAGGTTAAGTTTCAGGCCAAGCTGGAACATGAGTTCATACACAACTTCAAAGTTCTCCAGGCTGCCTTCAAGAGGATGGGAGTCGACAAAGTCAGACTATTATCTATTTATCATCATCTATAAAACATTACAAATCAGAACATATTCACATCCCCTTGACTTTTTCCGAAATTGTTTGTGTTAAGGCCTGAATTTAAAATTGATTAAATTTAGATTTTGTGTCACTGGCCTACACACAATACCCCATAATGTCAAAGTGGAATTATGTTTTTAGAATATTTTACAAATGAAATGTCTTGAGTCAATAAGTCTTCAACCCCTTTGTTATGGCAAGCCTAAATAAGTTCAGGAGTAACATTTTGCTTAACAAGTCACATAATAAGTTGCATGGACTCACTCTGTTTGCAATAATAGTGTTAAACATGATTTGTTAGTGACTACCTCATCTCTGTACCCCACACATACAATTATGTGAGGGCTTGCCTCTAGATTTTTCAATGGAAAGATTTTCATCTCTCAAAAAGCTTTCAAACATTTAATCTTATTTCTACAGATAATTCCTGTGGAGAAGCTGGTAAAAGGAAAGTTCCAGGACAACTTTGAGTTCGTGCAGTGGTTCAAGAAGTTCTTCGACGCCAACTATGATGGGAAGGAGTACGACCCTCTTCAAGCCAGACAGGGGCAAGACATGGCTCCCGCCCCCAATCCAGGTGATCACTTTTCCCACAGACCAAAGAGAACTCATGGTCCTCCAGGTAACCCCAAATAATGGTTATATATCTTCTGAATGGGATTGTCTCGCTGATTGAGCTTTGGATGGCTCAAAACACGCACAGCGCTCTGCAAGCAACTGGTCTGTTTGTGTGTGTGCACGATCCACTGGATGACAGCTCTGATGGTCATTTCACAGGCTAGCATTTTAGAAACAGTCAAGGAAAGGTCGCTCTGGGAGTCAGTGTCCGGATTCTTGTGATCTCCACAGTGCCTTTAGCAGACTTTTTGAACAAAAATACATTATTTTCCAATTTATAAATACAATTGTTCCAGTTATTCTGTATTGAGTGAATTGATAATTGTGGTACCGCTTTGGGACCCTTTGGACTAACAGAGATGTTTTAAGCCTTGATCTTAGACCTGGTATGTGTAAAAGCAGCTTTTTTGTGCATTGTCTTTTGGTATTAAGGTTGAAAATAAATCAGCATCGGTTCTCAAAATCAATAATATAGCAAGTGTGTGTTACACCACAGGCGCAACATTATGCTATGCTTACAACATGGGTTCTCCTTGAAACTCTGTAGTAGTAGTATCCATGGCTTTGATCGCATGGGGTGACAAACAATGAGCACTTGTTTACTATGTTCACTAGTATTTACTACTATTTGTACTCCTTTTAGTTTACAACTATTTGTTTAATAATATTTTGTTGACATTTACTGTGAGTATGGCTGGGATTCAAGCCAAGGCGCATTACAGAGCAGTGCACTAGAGAGCCCTCAATGCGCCCTTTAAAGGCATTTTCCCCCAAAGTTTGCGGAGATCGCATTCACTGTAAATTACCTTTAAAAGTCTGTTATAGTGCGCTGCCCAATAACGCTCCTTGGATTGAATCCCGGCCTAAATGTTATAACAGTAAACCTGCACTGCAACACAAAGGACTCTATTCAATCAGTACCACGGAAGTTCAGCGTTACAGCGTGATTGAAATTTAAAGGCAATGTTTCTGCGTTAGCGGAGACTGCATTTACGGTAAACTGCATATGCTCCATATGTCGGCTCAATCTGACATTACCTTTACATTTCTATCGCACAATCTGTAACGTATCAGCGAGCGAGATTGAATAGAGCCTTAACACTATCTGTTCATTCCAGGCCCCCAGAGGATGTCGCCCACAGTGCCCAAGATAATGCCCGCGCCCCAGAGGGTGCTGAACACCACCGTGCATGTGAGGAAGACCCCGGCTCTGGCGCGGAACGGGGGCAGCGACGCGGAACTCATGGAGCTAAATCAACAGGTAGAGTCCCAGGGAGGGTAAGGAGGCCTTACTCTACATTGGAGAAGTAAACTCATGGGCCATACTACTGTAGTATTGACAGTATTCAATACGAATTCATGTGTCCTGTATTAGTTTTACCTCAGTTATCAGGTTTTATTTACTGCAAGTAGAGTCATGCTTAGCCCTAAGTCTTGGCTGTAGGCTAAATCCATGTCTCCGGGCTAAGTCATGCTCTGGTCTTTGTAATGTGAAGGGTGAGTGTAAGTTCACACTAGAGTTTGTATCCTAATTTCTGACTCAGTTGTGACTTATCCAATAAAGAGGAGGATAAAAAGTGATATTTGATGCATATTAGGAAACTAAATGTAAGTTCAAGTATAGGAAGCATGTAACTAACATACGTTTGTACTACTCAGTGAGTACTACATTGACCTTTTCATTCCCCATGTGTTTGAAACGACCTTTTTCTTGTCTGTGTAGTTGATGGAGCTTAAGTTGACGGTGGACGGACTAGAGAAGGAGAGAGATTTCTACTTCAGTAAGCTGAGAGACATTGAGCTGATCTGTCAGGAACACGAGTGTGACACCAACCCTCACCTCTCCAGGATCATGGACATTCTCTATGCCACAGAGGTACCTGTCACAACTCAGACATATACAGTATAATTCAATGTGTTCATATAAATCATTGGTCACAACACTGAAACTGAATAAAGAATAGGCTACTTTTTTAAACTAGAGATTCTACAGTTTTAATAAGAATTGTACTAATCTTTGTGTAGCCCTGATCTATCCTTAATTTGATCTATCCCTCTCTCATGTATCAAATATTAGGGGTTGTGGGTTATCATCACATACACTGTAAATCTGATGATATCTGTATTTTGTGTTTCAGGACGGCTTCGCTGCTCCAGATGACGATGAGATTGATGAACAGGCCCACTTGGACCAGGATGAATACTGAGCCTCTCAACCCTTCTGTCCATATCCCCCCTCTCCCTCCTCTATACCCTTCTGTCCATATCCCCCCTCTCCCCCCTCTCAACCCTTCTGTCCATATCCCCCCTCTCCCTCCTCTATACCCTTCTGTCCATATCCCCCCTCTCCCTCCTCTAAACCCTTCTGTCCATATCCCCCCTCTCCCTCCTCTAAACCCTTCTGTCCATATCCCCCCTCTCCCTCCTCTATACCCTTCTGTCCATATCCCCCCTCTCCCTCCTCTAAACCCTTCTGTCCATCCATATTCACCCTCTCTCTGCCTCTCTCCTTTGCCCCTCTTTCATTTACTTTCACTCTGCACGCTAAAAATACCTCTATCCTATTCCTGTTCTATCTCTCTTTTCCTCTCTTCCTCTCTCTTCATATGTATATATGTTTGTCTCCGCCCTTTCCCCTGGCTATCTACTGTACATACACCACTACTTCTCAGTGTCATAAGCTACTCCTCCCTCCCTCCCTCCCTCCCTCCCTCCCCAGTGACACAGTAGCAGCAACAATAACAGAACATATCCTGGTCGTTCCAGCATGGTACATAGTATAACACAGAAAAATGAACAGAGGTGATATTAATGGGGGTGTTAGGCCTACACAATTCATTCAGAGTTGTAAATATGACAAAAAAGGAACGGTTTTGAAATAAGGTAGTTGTCAGAATGCATTTGTTAGTTTGTCTTTTGGTTTGACTCATGCTTTTTCGAAACCTCATTTTGGTTTTGTTCCGGAGCATAGAAAGCACCTTGTGCATGTTACTGTATTACAGGTTACCCGTTACCACAAGAGTCATACTTAGACTCTAACAAAATGGTCTATGACAACAAATTATATTTCATTTGTCTATACTTTCTTATTTATTGATTTGATTTAACAACTAGTAGAACAATTGATGTAAAATGTATGTAAATTAAACAATACTGTAATTTGTGCTGATGGCAGTGAAACAGCATAAAAAGCTTTTTCTTTTAGTTGATGGCATGTAGTAAACATCAAGGGAAAACACATACAAAAATACATTGGTATAGAAATGATCATTTAGGGCATAGGATATGACCTATGCCCTTTGACTCATTCTTGATTAGCTGTATCTGAGCATGAGAATGTTATAATTGACAGTGAATGGGCAATATATTTGTCAACTATTTTATGTGCAGATTTTGTCTTCAGTCGGAAGTGTCTGGTTAAATGCAATGGTATTTATTTTGTATAATGAGTTTGAACTTCATTTGGTATTAACAATACCTGAGGTACTATGTAGGCTGACATTATGGCAGTAAAATGTTTTTTAAATTTAACTGTAAAAATGTGTTATTTGAAGCTGGAATCCGTAATGGTGAAACTGCCTGTTCCGTTTGCGATATATAAATAAAATGACAAAAACAAAAGAAGTTACTTCAAACAACGAACACTGTTTTTTTTTTCACGATGTTGGATGCTCCTCTCCTCCCTTTCATAATTAAAACAATAACAAACGTGCTGGGGGCGAACAGTGGCGCTGTTTCCCCTTATGCGGATTTCAGCTTTTAAAGAGCCTGAAAACAATGATTTACTTTGATTTGATCATATCACGTTTCTGCTGCTAATTTTGCTGTGTTTGTACTTTTGATTTGCTATAATATATTGCTCAGCTGTAGTCTTACGAATTGCAAGTTGAGTTTAGTGAACAGTGAAGTCAGAGTTACGTCCCAAATGGCACCCTATTTCGTATATCGTGCACTACTGGTCAAAAGTACGTCACTATGTAGGGAATAGGGTGTCATTTGGGACACACAGAGTTAGTTAGGGGTCTATGACAAGTTCAAAATGATGCTGGTCGTCATGAGCATCATAAGGAATAGAAGTCCTTTCCCCTGTACTACTGCCTTTACAATGCAAACAGACATCTGTAATAGAATTTGACCTGCATTCTCTCTCGCGCGTTGACTGTATACCAGTGTTTGCATAACTCTCATCTCTTTGAGTTTTATTAAGGAAATAAACTATTGTGAAATAAACTGTTATAATACCGTTGTTTATTTCTGTTTGGCTACAAGATTGTGCGCACAGAAAACCTTAGAAGGGCTATGGTGGGGGCCCAATTGGCTCCAAGTGGGCCCCCTATGCGCAGTGGTTCCCAACCTTTTTCGGTTATTGTACCACCAACTGAATTTTGCTCTGCCAGGAGTACCCCTGAAGTACCTCCTCATGTGCATTTGACCAGTAGGCCTATGGTCTCATGAGTCTTTTCAAGTACCCCCTGTGGATAGGCTAAGTACCCCCGGGGGTCCTAGTACACCTGGTTGGGAACCACTGCACTATGGGACCCACTGTCAATGGTAGGGCCCAGAAAAGACAATGCGTTTCCATTCAACGACTGTAGAGGGCAGTATTGTTCCACACAAAGTGTTGCAGTGGTGAAAGGAATTGTAATTCTATTTATTTCGTAGATCAGCCAGAAACATTCATGTAGAAAGAAAATGTATCTACAATTTCGGATATAGATGTCGAATCACCGTACTACTCACATCAATACAGGCAATGCTTATTACACAAGTTCAACGCAACACCAGCGACGTTTTAAACTATTAAGAAGCCAAGGCACCCATCCGGGGGATTAGCTCAAATGGTAGAGCGCTCGCTTAGCATGCGAGAGGTAGCGGGATCGATGCCCGCATCCTCCAATCGTTTTCATTTTTTTCGACAGAAGTGAATGTAAGAGTGCTTATTATGAGTTTACTCTCTCAACGTAAATAACATAAAATATCTAAATCAACCTTTAGAACTGAGAGATTGTAAACTTACGAAACGTTTTCATCAATAGGTCCATTATTTTGGTGGTGTGGCGGGATAGGCCTATAGACAATCAAAATATCAGTAAATAGACTACATATTTAATAGATTTAATAAACTCCTTAATTCAATACAGTATTGTCAATTCAAATAATGATGTTTGAAATAAAATAATGCTAAAATCCTTGAAAGTGAATTGGACATAGACATGCTCCTGGTAGCTAGTATAAGATTCTGTAGCCAGTAAGTTAAAACTATGTGTTACAACTAAACTACAGTATCAAGTCACCTCTATAACTTTTGGAAGTAGGCCTACACATCAACACACACAAATTGGCTGCAGAGCATAGGACTAGTGAAGGGAGACAAGCAATTTTTCCAGTAGCCATAAGGGACTGCACAGCACTGTGTTTACCTATCATGGCAAACCAAGTAAAATAATACACTCCACTAAAATCATAGTAGGCTATACATACATAGGTCTATGTGTAGCAGATTTGGGTTCAAATACTATATAAAATCTATAAAATACTGCCTAGAGCACCAGATGGGTGGGGTTTACAGTTTGACTATTCTATTGGTCCTTGAAGCCAGGCAAGCCTAACCAAGATAAAGTATCTGCATTTTGAAATTATTTCAAATAGTATTTGAACCCAGGTCTGATGTGTGGGGCTGAAACCTAACTGCCTATAGATATCGTAGAGCTTTACAGACAAGAACACCCTCTCAGACACCAAGTTGAGTTTCAATGAGCTGCATTGTACAATGTTCGCTTATCAAGGTACACCAAACAATGCACTCCACTGTAGAAAAAGTAGGCACTGCATTTAAAACATAGTAGGCTATACATACGTCTGTCTATGTGTTTGGGCAAAGGACACAACCCTATCTCTCAGACACCCATTAGTTTCTTGGCCATGTATCCAGGCATGCTGTAGATGAAGAGGCCCAGGATGAGCACCAGCAGCAGAGCCACCACTAACTTGACCGTGAGCCAGAAGTACTGGTTGCAGATGAGGTTTTTGATGGCCTTGAAAGGCATAAGGAACCATAGGAAGGCTGTGTCTGGACGACTGGTGGAGAAAAATAGGGTTGGTTGGTTAGTCTGCACTAATGCCTTATAAGGCCATCACACAGACACACAGAGGATGAGCAAATAGGACTATAAGAATTAGGGCCGGTTTCCTGTGAATATAAAATAATCCATAAAAATTATGGGGAAAATAAAGGGTATTTTAGTAACTTACCTTGTAAAGTATGATGATCCCTGGTCAAATCCGGTACTTGGTCGAAGCAATTTCGTAAAAGACCCTTTCTTTATCCCATAATTTGTGTGTATTGTAATCAAATGGACCATTACGTTAGGGTGCGTACCAACGAGGGTGCGCAATCCGACCGCATGGTAGAGCGTTGTTTTAGGGCAACCTCGTGATGCAAAATCATGCTCCTGCCCCTTCCCCACTCCAATGCAACTTCCCAGTTGAAATACATTGAGTTGGCGCCAACATTTTACACTGTATTTGTTAGCTCAGTGTGTAAACACCATAAAGGGTGGTAGTGGTAAAGGGTGAATGGTGCTCTTACTTGGGTTTCTCCAGGGGCTCAGGTTCGTTGCGTCCGTCACCTACTGGATTCTTCTCAGCCTCCTCTGCAGTCATCAGCTGCAGCTCTGCTTCCACTTTCCCCTGCAAAGACACAAACAACATCACTACTAAAATACTGGGGTTCATACAGTATATAAAGTAGGTCTGTATCTTTTGACTGATCTGTTCAATATTTAACTCAGTTAGATTCTTCAGGGTGTAACCCAATTGTCACGTTTTGTTGAATCAAAGACACCGTTTTGACAAGTGTATAGTTGAATGTGTTTAATCCAGTCCACATTACATTAGAAAAAGGGAAAAGGGGGATACCTAATCAGTTGTACAACTGAATGCTTTCAACCGAAATGTGTCTTCCGCATTTAACCCAACCCCTCTGAATCATACCGTGAGTTCAAAGTCGTCGTTCTCGTCTCTGGCCAGGAAGGGCCACCAGCCCTTGATCCTCCTCTGTTTGAAGATAGACACCATGGGAATATCCTGTTCGTTCAGCACCATGTTGATGGAGCACTGCTTGGCTGTCTTCGCTCCACGAGGGAAACGGTTCAGGTCCAGCTCAATGGCGCCTAGGAAGAGACATAAATATCATACATCTTTATTTTATATGCATGAAGGGTTCTCAGCTGTTGTTGTTGATTATGTTGATGTTGTTGTTATGACTGCCACAACAGTATTTTCCATGTCGCACAATACAAGTTCAATTACAAAAATTAAAATAGTACAACAAGGGAAATGCAATCCACTGTAGCCCTAGTCTGAAACGTTATATTCACAGAAAGACCAACATCTACAGCCCAGAAAATCATTATGGTGAATGTTTAGTAGAGGGAAATCAAATCACTCCACCTAAAAAATCATCTGCAGAGAAGTGGTCAGCATCCCAGACTTGTAAGTTGAGACGAGCAGGGATCTTATACTCAGTCTCGTCCCAGGCGAACATGGACTCCTTCTTAGAGATGACGATCTTCTCCTCGGCCTGTAAGTAGTCAAAGGGGTAGATGAAGCGCCAGTTGAAGAGACCCTCCCCTGTCAGGGAGTGGTAGTGGACATCTGTGTCCTGCTTGTCCTCCTGCTGGCCCTTCAGCCAGCTGTTGAATGATGGAAGAAGAAGAAGAAGAAGAAGAAGAAGAAGAAGAAGCAGAAGAAGAAGAAGAAGAAGAAGAAGACATGGTTTAAATATTTAGTACAAGATACCCCCTGAAATTCGAAAAACATATACTTTCAAAGGAAACATTCTTAACCCCCGCACGAAGATATCACTGGACTTTTCTCCAGTGAAGATGTCATCATCCTCCAGAATGACCTCGTCTGTGTTCCAGATGATCACCCTCAGTTCAAACCTGCAGACGACCAAACAGTACAGTGAGACAAAGTACAACTTTTGTTGAATTATGTGATATGCCTGTTTTTAAAATGTGACATGCCTGTTATGTGATATATCTGATCATATAACATGGGGAATTTACTGATATTTATATTACTGATATCAAATCCTGCCGACTATGCCAAATGTAACTTGGGGGACAATGGACATTCATCAGAGAACTTTATCTTCACCTTGCAAATTCTCTTACTGAATGTTTTTGAAAGCACATTACATTGTACTAGAACATACTTCTTTGGTTTCCTGGGTGAAATATCAATGGCAGGTCCAGGTGCAGGCAAATCCTTGGGGAACATGTCCACCCACATCTCAATCCTCCCCTACACATAGAGAAACACAAAGACAAACTTGGGATGAGATGCAATTGAACCAGTGGCATAGCACACACCCCTGCAGCCCCCGCAAAGCAGGGGGCCCCATGAGCTTGGGGCCCATGAGCTTTGCCCCCCTCCCCGAAACTCTGCTAGGCGAAACACTAAGATCAAGTCTAATCAATCAGGCCTACAGTACCTTTTGTTAACTTTATATATATATTTTTTTTTATTGGGGGGGGGGGGGGGGGGGGTAGCTATGAAACTAGCAGACAGATTGGTTTATAAAATAACATTAGTTGCATCATTTCTGATCCCTTTCTTTGTTTTTATGTTTTACCATCCCGCTCCCCTGGTTGGAAGACCTGGTGGAAAACGTAAAAATTCTATATATATACATATAGCCTACACCTATTTGTACTGGACTCCAAGTGCATCATCAAATTAACCAATCCTTCTAATCTTAATTCCACCCCTCAGATGTCAACAGACTAACCCATCTTTCCCAGTATATTATCATTTTACTATTTCCTTTTGCAATACATCCTTCTATTTTACTGTGATGTCTCACAAGGGTCTTGAACCTCTCTATTTGTACCATTTCTACTGAGATTGCCTTAAAAATAAATACTTTACCTAAGAGTATAATAATATTTCCCATCAGATTGTGAACGTTAATTTACTCTACTTTAGTTTTGCTTTCAACCTTCACCAGCTGGATTGTTTGAAAGACACTGAAGCAGGCACTCAGGCAGTTAGCAAGCACAACCTTAACACTTGTCTTACCTGTTCGATCCCAGGCTTGTCAGGGTTGAGGAGTGGCCTGGTCTCCACATGTTCTGGAATCAGTTTACAGCCCACCCTGGGGATATCCTCCCAATGCTTCAGCACTGTCAGGGCCAGGTGCTCATCCGTCTGCTTCTTCAGACCTAAAGAGCATCATCAGACCAACCCAGACTAACATACAGCACAGACTAGTCTAGTAATACCTGGCCTACCCACAAGGGGTACTTGGGAAAGCTCATAACATCATAGACCTATATGATCAGTTGTACATGAGGGGGTATTTCAGGCAGAGTAAAATACCAGGCTGGTGGTATTTCAGGGTACAGTAACCAACATAGGAGGGTAAATCCGGGTAATCTGCCGAAAGTATTACCGGGGGCAAACTACCCGCCCTCCAAGACACATACAGCACCCGATGTCACAGGAAGGCCAAAAAGATCATCAAGGACATCAACCACCCGAGCCACTGCCTGTTCACCCCGCTATCATCCAGAAGGTGAGGTCAGTACAGGTGCATCAAAGCTGGGACCGAGAGAATGAAAAACAGCTTCTATCTCAAGGCCATCAGACTGTTAAATAGCTATCACTAGCACATTAGAGGCTGCTGCTGCCTATTGAAATCACTGGCCACTTTAAGAAATGGAACACTAGTCACTTTAATAATGTTTACATATCTTGCACTACTCATCTCATACGTATATACTGCATTCTATTCTATAATATTCTACTGTATCTTAGTCCATGCCGCTCTGTCATTGCTTGTCCATATATGTATATATTCTTAAATCCCATTCCTTACTTTTTTCTGTGTATTGGGTGTATGTTGTGAAATTGTTAGATATTTCTGCACTGTCGCAGCTAGAAGAACAAGCATTTCGCTACACCCGCTATAACTTCTGCTAAACGTGTGTATGTGACAAATACATTTTGATTTGATTTGATTTAAAGAAGCATTTCAGGTAGTGTTATTTTGTTCTGCACTATACAGTACCATTTTCATCTTCGATCTCAGTTGGGCCCATGAAGACCCGGTTGGCCACCTTGACCCGTCCTCCAGGGCCGTAGTGTGGCCCGTCCAGCTTGCACTCCTTACACAGCTTCGCCAGGATTTGGGTCGGCTTCAGGGGGTCCCGCCACACGTTGTAGCCATGGCTACAGGAATTAATAACAATGATGAATGACACACAAATCCCTCACAGTTCTTATAAGATGATATATGGGTATTAATTTATCCTTTACATAGTATATCCTATGCTGTTCGTATATATTGATTACATGTACTGTAAATGCCGTAATGCTACAGAGAGCTAGGCAGCACTTACATGGCATATTTAGATGGGATGCCACATATTGCTCTGTGCTTGCTGTAGTAGCGGTTCTCCAAATCCAGTTGGGTTTCTCCAATGAGATCGTCAGTTCCCACTAAGTCCCAGTCATAGACTGACACTGTTAGTGTGGAGTCCATGGGAAATGTGGCATCGATGTCAAAGGATCTGATGGGTTCAAAAATAAATGACTTTGTTAAGTCTTTGGTCATAACTTTGGTTATAATTTTCCACAGGTTTTACATTTTCAAAGCCTATTCAATGCACAAGCTATAACTACAGTGAGGGAAAAAAGTATTTGATCCCCTGCTGATTTTGTACGTTTGCCCACTGACAAAGACATGATCAGTCTATCATTTAAATGGTAGGTTTATTTGAGAGACAGAATAACAACAAAAAAATCCAGAAAAACGCATGTCAAAAATGTTATAAATTGATTTGCATTTTAATAAGGGAAATAAGTATTTGACCCCTCTGCAAAACATGACTTAGTACTTGGTGGCAAAACCCTTGTTGGCAATCACAGAGGTCAGACGTTTATTGTAGTTGGCCACCAGGTTTGCACACATCTCAGGAGGGATTTGGTTCTACTCCTCTTTACAGATCTTCTCCAAGTCATTAAGGTTTCGAGGCTGACGTTTGGCAACTCAAACCTTCAGCTCCCTCCACAGATTTTCTATGGGATTAAGGTCTGGAGACTGGCTAGGCCACTCCAGGACCTTAATGTGCTTCTTCTTGAGCCACTCCTTTGTTGCCTTGGCCGTGTGTTTTGGGTCATTGTCATGCTGGAATACCCATCCACGACCCATTTTCAATGCCCTGGTTGAGGGAAGGAGGTTCTCACCCAAGATTTGACGGTACATGGCCCCGTCCATCGTCCCTTTGATGCGGTGAAGTTGTCCTGTCCCCTTAGCAGAAAAACACCCCCAAAGCATAATGTTTCCACCTCCATGTTTGACGGTGGGGATAGTTTTCTTGGGGTCATAGGCAGCATTCCTCCTCTTCCAAACACGGCGAGTTGAGTTGATGCCAAAGAGCTCGATTTTGGTCTCATCTGACCACAACACGTTCACCCAGTTCTCCTCTGAATCATTCAGATGTTCATTGGCAAACTTCAGACGGGCTTGTATATGTGCTTTCTTGAGCAGTGGGACCTTGCGGGCGCTGCAGGATTTCAGTCCTTCACGGCGTAGTGTGTTACCAATTGTTTTCTTGGTGACTATGGTCCCAGCTGCCTTGAGATCATAGACAAGATCCTCCCGTGCAGTTCTGTGCTGATTCCTCACCGTTCTCATGATCTTGCATGGAGCCCCAGGCTGAGGGAGATTGACAGTTATTTTGTGTTTCTTCCATTTGCGAATAATCGCACCAACTGTTGTCACCTTCTCACCAAGCTGCTTGGCGATGGTCTTGTAGCCCATTCCAGCTTTGTGTAGGTCTACAATCTTGTCCCTGACATCCTTGGAGAGCTTTTTGGTCATGGCCATGGTGGAGAGTTTGGAATCTGATTGATTGATTGCTTCTGTGGACAGGTGTCTTTTATACAGGTAACAAACTGAGATTAGGAGCACTCCCTTTAAGAGTGTGCTCCTAATCTCAGCTCGTTACCTGTATAAAAGACACCTGGGAGCCAGATATCTTTCTGATTGAGAGGGGGTCAAATACTTATATCCCTCATTAAAATGCAAATCAATTTATAACATTTTTGACATGCGTTTTTCTGGATTTTTTTGTTGGTATTCTGTCTCTCACTGTTCAAATAAACCTACCATTAAAATTATAGACTGATCATTTCTTTGTCAGTGGGCAAACGTACAAAATCAGCAGGGGATCAAAAAATTTTTTTCCCTCACTGTATATAAGTGGCAATCATCAATAGTAAATTATTTGGCTAGCTTGTATGCTATTAAGGATTAAGAATTAAGGCCGTATTAAGGATAAATCCACTCTATTACGACATCATGAACGTTAGTGGAAATGGACAAAATGTTGTTTTTAAAGTTTCTCCACTCACTTGCCAAAGATAGGGTTGAGTTGTTTGGAGATGTAGTTCTCTTTGTCTTTGATATCTGACTTGCCCAGTTTGATAGCGATGTATGGATCTGCTTTTCCATTGATATCTGCTGGATGCAGGTCAGTAGCCTGTAGGAAAGTATCAAGTAGAGAGATTTTATTTGTTTTATTTGACAATCAAGATATGACATGTTCATAATCACAGGGTAGTTTAATTACAGCGCCTATAGAAAGTCTACACCCCCTTGAACTTTTTCACATTTTGTTGCCTTACAAAGTGGGATTGCAATAGATTTCATTGTAATTTTTTGTCATTGATCTACCCAAAATACTCTGTAATGTCAAAGTGAAAGGAACATTTTACAAATTTTTACAAATGAATACACACCCTTTGTTTATCCAAGCATAAATTAGTTCAGAAGTCAAATTTGGCTTAGCAAATCACAAGTTATATTTTATACTCACTCTGTGTGAAATAATAGGGGTTGACATGATTTTTGAATGACTACCCCTTCCTCTGTCTCCCATACATACAACATCTGTAAGGTCCCTCTGACAAGTATTGAATTTCAAGCACAGATTCAAGTACAAAGACCAGGGAGCTTTTGGAAAGCCTCATAAAGAATGGCAGTGATTGGTAGATGGGTAACAATAACAAATCAGACATTGAAAATATCTTTAGGCATGGTCAAGTTAAGAATTATGTTGTGGATGATGTATTAAACCACCCAGACACGTCGAAGATGCAGTCGTCCTTCTGAACTGAGCTGCAGGACAGGAAGGAAACTGCTTAGGGATGTCACCATGAGACCATTGGTGATTTTAAAACAGCTACAGAGTTCAATGGCTGTGATTAAATCAAATCAAATGTTATTGGTCACATGCGCAGAATTAAAACAGGTGTAGACTTTACAGTGAAATGCTTACTTACGAGCCCATTCCCAGCGTTAAAAAGTACGAGACATTTTCAAAAATAAAAAAGGAAATAGTAAAACAATAAAAACAATAACAAGGCTGTACAGTGCATTCGGAAAGTATTCAGACCCCTTGACTTTTTCCACATTTTGTTACGTTACAGCCTTATTCTAAAATTGATTAAATTGTTTTTCTCCCTCATCAATTTACGCACAATACCCCATGATGACAAAGCAAAAACTGGTTTTCAGAAATGTTTGCAAATGAAAAACTGAAATATTACATTTACATAAGTATTCAGACCCTTTACTCAGAACTTTGTTGAAGGACCTTGGACAGCGATTACAGCCTCGAGTCTTATTGGGGATGACGCTACAAGCTTGGCACACCTGTAATTGGGGAGTTTCTCCCATTCTTCTCTGCAGATCCTCTCATGTTCTGTCAGGTTGGATGGGGAGCGTCGCTGTACAGCTATTTTCAGGTCTCTCCAGAGATGTTAGGTCGAGTTCAAGTCCGTGCTCTGGCTGGGCCACTCAAGAACATTCAGAGACTTGTCCCGAAGCCACTCCTGCGTTTTCTTGGCTATGTGCTTAGGGTCATTGTCCTGTTGGAAGGTGATCCTTCACCCCAGTCTGAGGTCCTGAGCGCTCTGGAGCAGGTTTTCATCAAGGATCTATCTGTACTTTGCTCTGTTCATCCTTCCCTCAATCCTGACTAGTCTCCCAGTCCCTGCCCCAGAAAAACATCCCCACAGCATGATGCTGCCACCTCCATTCTTCACTGTAGGGATGGTGCCAGGTTTCCTCCAGACGTGACGCTTGGCATTCAGGCCAAAGAGTTCAATCTTGGTTTCATCAGACCAGAGAATCTTGTTCCTCATGGTCTGAGAGTCTTTAGGTGCCTTTTGGCAAACTCCAAGCGGGCTGTCATGTGCCTTTTACTGAGGAGTGGCTTCCGTCTAGCAACTCTACCATGAAGGCCTGATTGGTGGAGTGCTGCAGAGATGGTTGTCCTTCTAGAAGGTTCTCCCATCTCCACAGAGGAACTCTGTCAGAGTGACCATTGGGTTCTTGGTCACCTCCCTGACCAAGGCCCTTCTCCCCCGATTGCTCAGTTTGGACGGCCGGCCAGCTCTAGGAAGAGTCTTGGTGGTTACAAACTTCTTCCATTTAAGAATGATGGTGGCCACATTGTACTTGAGGACCTTCAATGCTGCAGAAATGTTTTGTTACCCTTCCCCAGATCTGTGCCTCGACACAATCCTGTCTCGGAGCTCTACGGACAATTCCTTCAACCTCATTGCTTGGTTTTATGCTATGACATGCACTGTCAACTGTGGGACCTTATTTAGACAGGTGTGTGCCTTTCCAAATCATGTCCAATCAATTGAATTTACCACAGGTGGACTCCAATCAGGTTGGAGAAACATCTCAAGGATGATCAATGGAAACAAGATGCACCTCAGCTCAATTTCGAGTCTCATAGCAAAGGGTCTGAATACTTATGTAAATAAGGTATTTATCTTATTTATTTTCCTTCTTTTGTTTTGCACAAATTTCTAAAAAAACTGTTTTCACTTTGTCATTATGGGGTATTGTGTGTAGATTGATGAGGATTTTTATTTATTTAATCAATTTTAGAATAAGGCTGTAACGTAACACAATGTGGAAAAAGTCAAGGGGTCTAAAAAAATAAAATCAAATAAAATAAAATATTATTTGCCACATGCGCCGAATACAACAGTTGTAGACCTTACAGTGAAATGCTTACTTATAAGCTCTTAACCAACAATGCAGTTTTAAGAAAAATATGTGTTAAGTAAAAAATAGATAAGTAAAAAATGCAAATAAAAAATAATTAAAGAGCAGCAGTAAAATAAAAGAACAGTAGGGAGGCTATATACAAGGTGTACCGGTACAGAGTCAATGTGCGGGGGCACAGGTTAGTCGAGGTAATTGAGGTAATATGTACACTACCAGTCAAAAGTTTGGACACACCTACTCATTCAAGGGTTTTTCTTTATTTTTACTATTTTCATTTCATTGTAGAATGATAGTGAAGACATCAAAACTATGAAATAACACATATGGAATCATGTAGTAACCAAAAAAGTGTTAAACAAAAATATATTCTATATTTGAGATTCTTCAAATAGCCACCCTTTGCCTTGATGACAGCTTTGCACACTCTTGGCATTCTCTCAACCAGCTTCACCTGGAATGCTTTTCCAACAGTCTTGAAGGAGTTCCCACATATGCTGAGCACTTGTTGGCTGCTTTTCCTTCACTCTACGGTCCGACTCATCCCAAACCATCTCAATTGGGTTGAGGTCAGGGGATTGTGGAGGCCAGGTCATCTGATGCAGCACTCCATCACGCTCCTTCTTGGTAAAATAACCCTTACACAGCCTGTTCGGTCATTGTCCTGTTGAAAAACAAATGATAGTCCCACTAAGCCCAAACCAGATGGGATGGCGTATCACTGTAGAATGCTGTGGTAGCCATGCTGGTTAAGTGTGTCTTGAATTCTAAATAAATCACAGACCGTGTCACCAGCAAAGTACCCCCACACCATAACACCTCCTCCTCCATGCGTTACGGTGGGAAATACACATGCGGAGATCATCCGTTCACCCACACCTGCGTCTCACAACGCCACAGTGGTTGGAACTAAAAATCTCAAATTTGGACTCCAGACCAAAGGACAAATTTCCACCGGTCTAATGTCCATTGTTCGTGTTTCTTGGCCCAAGCAAGTCTCTTCTTCTTATTGGTGTCCTTTAGTAGTGGTTTCTTTGCAGCAATTCGACCAATGAAGGCCTGATTCACACAGCCTCCTCTGAACAGTTGATGTTGAGATGTGTCTGTTACTTGAACTCTGTGAAGCATTTATTTGGACTGCAATTTCTGAGGCTGGTAACTCTAATGAACTTATCCTCTGCAGCAGAGGTAACTCTGGGTCTTCCATTCCTGTGGCGATCCTCATGAGAGCCAGTTTCATCATAGCGCTTGATGGTTTTTGCGACTGCACTTGAAGAAACTTTCAAAGTTCTTGAAATGTTCCGTATTGACTGTCCTTCATGTCTTAAAGTATTGATGGACTGTTGTTTCTCTTTGCATATTTGAGCTGTTCTTGCCATAATATGGACTTGGTATTTTACCAAATAGGGCTTCTGTATACCCCCTGTCATGAATTGCCCTCATGGGCTGAGGATCAAAGAAGCTAGGCAAAGGTTTGAACAACCCCTCTCCTGGGGGCCAGTTTTATGACCGGTCGTAAATTCCTTGCAGAAACTTTCTCTTCCGTGCCATGCAGTATTGGGAGAGGGAATATCCCTGTGGAACAAAGGAAGTCTTCCCGCCAAGACTCCAACATCCCAAAGTGGATAATGAAAGAATATTTCTACTTCAAAGAATGTGGGAAATGGTCAGTGGGGACTTAAAGAACAATCATGTCAAATGCGTTACTATGTTGTGATGTCATTAAAGACGGTGGAACAACATAACTGTATCTCTGGGGGTGTACACTTCCCAGTTATGAGGTTTGCATCTAATTGTTGTATAAAACGAATGATTAAGTATAATAATACTTTTGTGAAGATAACAATGTGATTTTAGCATTCTAGATGAGATGATTGTTTTCCATATTGACTTGTTCTCAGTCAGTTGCCACGCCCAGATGAGCACAAACATGATGAAACGCCCCCTTTTCTATTTTTGTATAAAACCCCTCGTGACGAAATTCACATAAGACCCGCCGAAGTACAGCGCGAGCTGACTATGGCAAAATGGTTTAAAACTACAACTCCATTACCAAAGGAAAAGACCAAGCAGACTACGGTATAAGCCGGATATTGCGAATGGTTGAATTTCTACCAGACCAGGAAACGTGAAGCTGAAGCTACACGGTTTAAAATGGTGAGACCAGAAAGACCAGAAAACGTGAGACGTTAGTCCATGCGTTTGAAATGGTGAGAAACTCTGAAACTCTCAATCTCTACACAAGAAGAAGAAACTCACTAGACCGTAGCATTACCAGTCTGCAGCTGGCATGTATAGTCGTCTAGAGAACTTTCACTAAAGACAAGAGTTGGGAAGGACAATCCCTCTCAGACAACCGTTGGTACATCTGACGTATCTATTCTAACATATCAACTCTACAAACTACAGGGTAAGCTGAAGTAGCCATTCTAACCACCACTACGACCAGAAACTCTACCAAGGACATTGGGATCTCCGGTGGGCAACCCAGTCCTACATCATCAACTCAACTATCGAGGACAGCTACACGTAAATACATGTTGCATTTCCAATCCGAATGAGCGGTTATTAGGGTTCTAAGCATTTGTATTTCCGTGAGCGTAGTTTCCAAAGTAACAACGAAAGTTTGAATCTCTGTCGCTCCCTTCCACTCTGACCCCTCCTTCTAACCAAGCATTCATGCTATTGTTAGTCCAGTTCATTAGGGACCTGTTTCCATTGTATTACATTAGTAATCAATAACCTATGTGTGTGTGTGTTTGTATTCTGTGTTATTATTTAGTTAGTTAGTAAATAAATAATTATGCCAATTTGTGCATCGCTGATTCATCAATAAGGTTAGGGTTCTTGCAGGTTCAAGGATTATGCGATGTTCAGAATGAGACTGATAAGAGGTAATTATTTAATAAGTGACTGTTATCGATATATAGCATATATCTTCTAAGAGTTTAATTCGGGAGATGGTAACTCGTTAAACAACTTATTCCGTGGTGCCCTATATTCCTAATGAGTTAAATGTTACATGATTAATTTAATTGAGTGACAATTAAACATAGTTAGTTGATTCGATAAATAACAGTCGCCCTATTAATGAAAGTAACGTCATAATACCCCCGTACCTTGTCACAACACAACTGATTGGCTCAAACGCATTAAGAAGGACAATGCAAATAGTCTGGGTAGCCATGATTAGCTGTTCAGGAGTCTTATGGCTTGGGGGTAGAAGCTGTTAAGAAGCCTTTTGGACCTAGACTTGGCGCTCCGGTATCGCTTGCCGTGCGGTAGCAGAGAGAACAGTCTATGACTAGGGTGGCTGGAGTCTGACAATATTTAGGGTCTTCCTCTGACACTGCCTGGTATAGAGGTCCTAGATGGCAGGGAGTTCAGCCCCAGTGATCTATTGGGCCGTACACACTACCCTCTGCAGCGCCTTGCGGTCGGATGCCGAGCAGTTGCCATATCAAGCGGTGATGCAGCCAGTCAAGATGCTCTCAATGGTGCAGCTGTAGAACTTATGAAGGATCTGAGGACCCATGCCAAATCTTTTCAGCCTCCTGAGGGGGAAGAGGCATTGTCGTGTCCTATTCACGACTGTATTGGTGTGTTTGGACCATGATAGGTCCTTGGTGATTTGGACACCGAGGAACTTGAGGCTCTTGACCTGCTCCACTACAGCCCCGTCGATGTGAATGGGGGCATGTTCGGCCCTCCGTTTGCTGTAGTCCACGATAAGCTTCTTTGTCTGGCACATGTTGAGGGAGAGGTTGTGATCAGGCCTACCACCATCATGTCGTCGGGCAAACTTAATGATGTGTGCGGGGGAACAGGGGGTACAGGAGGGGACTGAGCATGCACGCCTGAAGGGCCCCTGTATTGATGGTCAGTGTGGCAGATGTGTTGTTGCCTAACCCCACCACCTGGGGGCGGCCCGTCAGGAAGTCCAGGATCCAGTTGCAGAGGGAGGTGTTCAGTCCCAGGGTCCTTAGCTTAGTGATGTGCTTGGAGGGCACGATGGTGTTGAATGCTGAGCTGTAGTCATTGAACAGCATTCTCACATAGGTGTTCCTTTTGTCCAGGTGGGAAAGGGCAGTGTGGAGTGCAATAGAGATTGCGTCATCTGTGGATCTGTTGCTTTGAGTACGCGTCCTGTTAATCCGTCTGGCCCTGCGGCCTTGTGAACGTTAACCTGTTTAAAGGTCTTACTCACATTGGCTACGGAGGACATGATCATACGGTCATTCTGGAACAGCTGGTACTCTCACGTATGGTTCAGTGTTGCTTGCCTCGAAGTGAGCATAGAAGGCATTTAGCTCGTCTGGTAGGCTCGCGTCACTGGGCAGCTCTCGGCTGGGTTTCCCTTTGTCATCCGTGATAGTTTGCAAGCCCTGCCACATCTGACGAGCGTCAGAGCCGGTGTAGTAGGATTCGATCTTAGTCCTATATTGACACTTTGCCTGTTTGATGGTTCGTTGGAGGTCATAGCGTGATTATAAGCGTCCGGATTAGTGTCCTGCTCCTTGAAAGCGGCAGCTCTATCCTTTAGCTCAGTGAGGATGTTGCCTGTAATCCATGGCTTCTGGTTGGGATATGTACGTATGGTCACTGTGGGGGCAACGTCGTCGATGCACTTATTAATGAAGCCGGTGACTGATGTGGTAAACTCCTCAATGCCATTGGAGGAATCCCGGAACATATTCCAGTCTGTGCTAGCAAAACAGTTCTGTAGTTTAGGATCCGCTTGATCTGACCCCTTCTGTATTGAGTGTGTCACTGGTACTTCCTGTTAGAGTTTTTGCTTGTAAGCAGGAATCAGGAGGATAGAGTTATGGTCCGTTTGCCAAATGGGGCGGGGGAGAGCTTTGTATGCGTCTCTGTGTGTGGAGTAAAGTTGATCTAGAGTATATTTCCCTCTAATTGCACAGGTGACATGCTGGTAGAAATTAGGTCAAACGGATTTCAGTTTTCCTGCATTAAAATCACCGGCCACTAGGAGGGCTGCCTCTGGATGAGCATTTGTTTGCTTATTGCCCTATACACCTCGTTGAGTGCGGTCTTAGTGCCAGCATCGGTTTGTGTTTGTAAATAGACAGCTACGAAAAATACAGATGAAAACTCTCTTGGTAAATAGTATGGTCTACAGCTTATCCTGAGGTATTCTAACTCAGGCGAGCAGAACCTTGAGACTTCCTGGGAGAAAACGAAGGATGGATCAACAACATTGTGGTGACTCCACAATAATGACCTAAATGACAGAGTGAAAAGAAAAATACAAATATAGAGAATAAAAAATATTCCAAAACTTCATATGTATGCAACAAGGCACTGAAGTAATACTGTAAAAAACACGGCACAGGAATACACTTTTTGGCCTAAATGCAAAGCCTTATGTTTGGGGCAAATCCAACACAACACATCACTGAGTAACTGCCTCCTTATTTTCCAGCATGGTGGTGGCTGCATCACGGTATGGGTATGCTTGACATCGGCAAAGAATGGGGAGTTTTTCAGGATGAAAAGACACAGGATGGAGCTACTGTAAGCACAGGCAAAATCCTAGAGGAAAACCTGCTTCAGTCTGCTTTACACCAGACACTGGAAGAGGAATTCACCTTTCAGCAGGACATTAACCTACAACACAAGGCAAAATCTACACTGGAGTTACTTACCAAGAAGACAGTGAATGTTCCTGAGTGGCCAAGTTACAGTTCTGACTTAAATCTGCTTGAAAATCTATGGCAAGACTTGAAAATTGCTGTCTAGCCATGATCCCCAACATATTGACAGAGCTTGAAGAATTGTGAAAAGAATAATGGATGCACACAATAAAGGTGTGCAAAGCTCTTATGAGACTTACCCAAGAAGACTCACAGCTGTGATCGCTGACAAAGGCATTTCAAACATGCATTAAAAAACTAACATGTATTGGGTGAATACTTATCTAATCAAGGTATACTAGTGTTTTATTTTTCATTAATCTTAAATTTGTTTTATAAATTTTCTTCCACTTTGACATTACAGAGTATTTCGTGTAGATCGTTGTGAAAAAATGAAAGAAAGAAACAATTAAATCCATTTTAATCCCACTTTGTAACACAATAAAATGTGAAGAAATCCAAGGGGGGTGTAGACTTTCTATAGGCACTGTACTTTCACCTGAGTGTAGTGTTGTGTACCTACCCTGATGACATAGACTCTGACATATACTGTAAGTACTATTGTAGGCACACAATAGAGAGTAGTGTACCTACCCTGATGATATAGACCCGGACTAGGACGTTGATTGGGTCATTAGTTGGAATGTTCTGGAACATGCCCATGTTGGAGTCAAAGCCCATCTCCCTCTGCATCTCATCTGATACCGGCACTTTGTACATGCACAGAGAACCCTGAAATACAAACAGACATGCACAATTGTGGTGATATTTAACACAATAATGTACCCTATCCAGTTCCTACCTAGCCTGGTCCCAGATATGTTTATGCTGTATAGACATCATCGTTGAACAAGAACTATAGGATTTGGCTATACAATATATTCTATATTATACAGTCTATGTACAGCACAAGAAGATCTGGGACCAGGATAATTCCATCTCTCTTCCATCGCCGACAAAAAAGAAGCTACAAAGAAGGGAACACCCTCTGTGTGAAAGGGGTTTTACTTTGAATTTGCCAATAATCCTGTCTTCATCCGCCATGTTCTGGTCGTCGTCGTCTCCAGCCTTCCCTCTGAACAGGTTGAAGGTGTGAAGCCAGTCTTCAAAGTTATCAAACTCATTCTCCAGCTCCTTGGGGTACATCTAATGAGGAAATACGAAAAAGTACTCTATACATTAAAAACATAATTTCTAAAAAACATATTTCAACATATTAAAAAAAAAAAAAGTATATAGCACTTGACCCACTGTCCAGACTTTCTTAAACTTAGAGACAGGTTCCAGTGGGTAAAACTGGGCTAAAGTGTTTGAAATTACAATTCTGGTTGTAATGACATAATTTCAACCAGTTTTGCTCGCTGGGGCTCACTGTTGAGTAGCCACATACCTGTAGCTCATCAATTTTGTGCTTTTTCTTCTCTGGCATGTCTCCAGGCCCAGCCCTCTTCTTGTCCTTCTTTCCCTTGCCTCTCTTTCCTTTGACAAGAGAGTCATCAGGTTTGATCTCTGAGAATAGGTTAGGAGTGAGGGGTGAAGGGATGAGGGTGAGGGTTGAGGGTGGAGGGATGGAGGATGGAGAGGAGAGGTGGTGCACAGCAAGGCACTCAAGACATGAATTCCACATGAAAGTTGCCAAACCAATGTATTTTGGCCACTGTATACACAATATGAACAGTATATACAGTGAATGCCAGTGCAACAGACAGAATAGCTAAGACAACATTTACCCAATAGGAATAGGTCTCTAGCTTAGCTTATGAGTATAAACTTTATCACTAAACTTGCACATCTAGATACACCATCATGCACACAATCTCTGCATAAAAGTGCATTTGGGATTCCAAAAGATTTGTTTCAGTTAGTTTTCTATAAATATTTTATGTATGATGTTATGTCAAAGCTATACATAACAATGTATAAGTGCTTTTATGGCAGGCATATTGTAATATACCTGCAATTGAGAGCAGGAGGAGGTCATGATATGAGATATGAAGTGATGGAAATCATGGATTCATGTTTGTGTAAATGTATGCAGTGATGAACTATGACAGAGATGTCAGGGGTTATGTGAAGGGTTAGTGGTATGGGTTGTCATGGTATAGGCATATGAAAGTGGACATAGCATACAATCTGATAACATGATCATTCCCTTTGACTGCAACAATTATATTCTACTTTAAAGTCTCGATCAATATGCAGAGATTCATGATTATGGACTATCTAATCATGCTGGACCATCTACAAGACATAGTATCTACTTGTCAATATCTACCAAATTAACAAACATCAACAACCTAAACAGGACATATTGATGATACATAATACGATGTATATTTGCATGAAATGTGTATAGATATGGCCTAGATGTAATACATTTGCTGCTCTTGTGTTTTCCACATTAGTTTAGGATTGTTTTTGTTACCTCCGCCCTCAGCAGCAATATCCTGGTCCTCTTTCTCCTCAGCATCCGCCATAGCTGCCTCCTGAGCTTTGAGAATCTACAGAGTAAGACACACAAACCAATAATATCAAATACATATACACAGGATCACTTTTTTAATTCAATTCTGAGTATCAAAATGTAGCCATTAGATGATTATAATGTTTAATTGTATAAAAGTTAACAAAATGTCATTTTCACGGATGGCCTCACCTCCATCAGCGTTTCGATCGAGGCAAAGTACTTGGACCACCAATCCAACATGCTCTCATCAAACTCCTCCTCCTCCACCTCGTCTCCTCCCTTCTTCCTCTTCTTCTTCTTCCCTCCCTTCTCATCCTCCTAAAATATCAATGCAAGTTTAGTTTACAGGTTGCAATAGCCCTTTTACTGTTAACTACTGTACAACCTTTACAAATAAACTGTCACGTACAAATGCTTTTAACATTGCTCCTACAATGAGAAACAGAAACATTTCCAGATCAACGTCGTAACACCTACCTCAATTTTAACCACAGCATCAGACCCCTGGAAAATACCATACAACATTTTATATCAATCATATTACAACTCAGTTAGGATCTTTTATTAAAGTGTATTATTAAGGTTAACATTAATTTAATGGTGTGAGATCTTACAGAGTCCAGCTTAACCATGGTCTCCATCTTCTTGATGGTGGGCTCTGGCTCATAGTTGACAATGATCTCCTCTGTGAGAGGAGAAAGACTGCATTAGTATGTACAAATCAAAGTGTAAGGGCACAGCAAGGCGTGTGTGTGTTGTTTGTGTGTGTGTGTGTGTTGTTTGTGTGTTGTGTGTATGTGTGTGTGTGCATGTATGTGTGTGTACCTTGAGTGTTCCAGTTGTTGGCGTGCTTGTCTGCTGCCCGGTAAATGAACTTGCGTAGGGTGGTGACAGCATGGTTCCCCACCAGGGTGTAGCGTCCGAACGCTCTGCAGTCCACCACTCTGATGTTCAGGGGAGGGTGGAGTAGCTCGTTCTCAGGCAGGTCCTGGAGAACAACAAGTTCACAATAAATGAATGGGCCACATTTGGCACCTTTATGGTGTCATTTCCTGGTTGTAAAATGGTTGTCTGGTTAAGAAGACGTCATATAACCAGATTACAACCAACTGACCTCTATTACAATAAGTAAAAGATTTCGTTTTCATGATGACATCACAATGTCGTGGGAAAGTCGTTATATTTTGGTTGTTATTAGGTGAGATAACCAGGTGAACGATGGGAATGATTTTAAAGAGAACTTACCACCTCAAACATCTTGACCAGGGTGCCAAAGTTGGGATTTTTCTTGTAGTTCTGGATGAGGGAAGACTGGACTCCTTTACCGGCACATTCTATGTCCACACGAGGCCTGTCCACCGTGGCTAGGTTGACTCTCTTCAGGTCCCTCAGGCCCCAGAACAGCACCTACATTTCAGTATCACTTTATTTAAAGGGTACCTACATAAGGACTTCATAACACATTTATAACCCATACATACTACATTCATAAGCAGTACATAAGCGTTTCATATGTTACATCAACATTTACAGTGCAATATTTACAAATACACTGCCTGTATTTCAAGGCCAAGAGGAGTTTAATTCCCACCTCGATCCTGTACTTGCTGAGGATTGGTCTGATGCCCAGAGGGACAGGTAGGATGGGACCACGGTCCATGTCTGTAGGACCATCGATGGGCGGCAGGTCAGCTTTACCATGAGGACCAATCTGAAACATGAACAGACATAATATAATAATAATATTATATATGCCATTTAGCAGAGGCTTTTATCCAAAGCGACTTACAGTCATGCGTGCATACATAATATTTCTGGGTGGCCCCAGGAATCAAACCCACAATCCTAGCATTGCAAGTCCCATACTTGACCAACTGAGCCATACAGGACATTACTGACATCAACATTACTGATCAATTTGGGTCTAATCAAAGCATTTATAATCACACGACTGGCAGATATTTTGTTTTGTTTGACTGTTATTAAAGGCCCAGTGGATTTTAAAGTGCGTGATTTTCCTGTGTTTTGCATATATTTCCACACTATGAAGTTGGAATAATATTGTGAAATTATGATAATAAAGAGCTGTTTGAAAAGACCGCCTGAAATTTCTGCCTGTTTTGGTGGGATGTAGTTTTGGCATTCCATTCTGATATCACCATGTGTTAAATTAGTTAAAGATGCACTATGCAGAAATCGCTCCGCCATTTCCCGGTTGAAAATGTTTTAATCGTTTGCTTAATTTCAGTATATGTGACAAAACAAGCAAGTATAGTGGAGAGAATGATTGTACCATCTAAACCGCTGTAAAATATATTTTCCATAAAATATTGTATTTTCAGCTGTTTGAATATGGTGTACAAAACCTAAAGTAAAAGACGCAAAAACAAAACTTAAGAATGGGAAGCATTGAAATAGCGCACATAGAACAGATCTACAGTTTTTTAGACTTGTTTTCAATTATAATAACAGGTCTATAACACACATTTCTATGTGAAGTTGGTCGGTTCACTCAGACCACTCCCAGACAGTCCTAGCAAAATTCTTGCTTGAGAAATTGCCCTTTGCTAAGAAGCAATTTTTGTTTCTTTTTGACCATTTTTCATTTAAAACAATCACAGTAAGGTACTTAATTGTTACCCAGAAATAATTTGATTTTGAGATAAAAATGGCTGCATTGGACCTATAACCTAGGAAATCTCGGAATACATCAACTTTGAAAGGCAACTTGAAAGTCAACATGAAAGTCAACTTTCAACTTCTACCAACCAATTTCCCTCTACTCTGGGACAAATAATGTGGAAAGTTGATCTATTGCCAGGCTCACCTGCAACAGTTCGAAGGCCGCCAGCATCTCTCCAGCGGTGCAGTTCCCCCTATAGATCTGGTAGTACTCTAGTTGGGGAGGGAAACGCGGAGGTCCGTAGTGTTCATCAGCCATCTTGGTTATGGGCTTGGCGAAGGTCCTGCCCATGAACTCTGCTTTGCCCTGGAGTCACATCATAACAGGAAGACATGGGAGACAATCAAAATATAACCCTGAACCTTCTGTGGTAAATCAAGGTCCACACCACATCCACAAATATTAAGGTTTAAATATTTGAAAGAATGGTCTCTTTGGAATAATGTACCATCTACAATCCGAGGAAATTGGCCGGAGTTTACATTACAAGCGTTTGAAGAGAAATATGTGATATTTAAAAAACAATATCATAAGAAATACAATAAAGGGTCTTCATGGCATGTCATTCATCAATATGTTAAGTATGGCATTAGCTTTACCTAACACAGAAGCATGGCTTGACAATGCACATGCTTCAAAGCTCAAGAAAACACAACAGAACAATGAACAACTAGCCTGGTTCCAGATCTGTTTGTAATGCTTTGACAGCTCGACCATAGGAGTTATCTATATGCACAAACAGATCTGGGACCAGGCTAGAAAACAATGACAAGACACCCAAACATAACCACTGTACCACATAAGCAACAAGCTTTAATTGAAGGAATGCAAGAGGGATAAGGCTGATGTCCAGTGAATTTGTATTTTCAGCTAAATCTTATACCTATTGCATGCCTTGGGCCAAGGCTCTCCAACCCTGTTCCCGGAGAGCTAGCGTCCTGTAGGTTTTCGCTCCAACCTTAATCTAGCACACCTGATTGTAATAATTAGCTGGTTGATAAACGGAATCCATATGGCTGAATCAGGTTCGTTACAACTGGGGTTGGAGCAAAAAACTTCAGGAGGGTAGCTCTCCAGGAAGTGGGTTGGAGAGCCCTGCCTTGGGGCATAATGCTATTTCAAACCTTCAATCAGAATTCAGTTCACACTCTACTTATCCCGAGTAAAGGTAATCCAAAACAATGGTGTTTATGTTCAGGAATAGATGATATGATCATCAGTTGAGTCAACATTTACATTCTTTCAAATATGATTCATAACAATTCTGTAAAATCTGATAAACATATAAGGTGTCACATTCTTCTATAATGATGCCAACAAAATACATACTGCAGTATCTCTTTCAAATGCAGAGCCTAATTCGTATTTGAATGACATGTCATTTATGTTACTTAGAGGACTTGAGCAGCAAGGAAAGAGTGGTCTGGAAATCTAAATGACTGTATGCATTGTCAGATGATCTATTGAAATTCAGATAGAATCTGTTATGATAGATCTGTTCATGAGTTCTAACCAGGCATTATGCTTACCACCGTGTCCTGGTCATAGATTTCTATGACGATGATAGGAGGGTCGTCCCTCAGTTCTCCGACCTCTCCAAACAGTTCTATGTTGTCAAACACCATCAGCTGGTCCCAGGTGGGGCACAGTGTCTCATTCAGCACCTGGGCAGAGAGTTATATTCATTAATTGATTCATTAATTCACTCACCATCTTGTTACTCCCATTCACCATTCTGTACCACGTAATTCTTATATGGACTATTTAATTACTGGACCAAACTTCACCGCTGTTCAAAGATGATAGTTATATTCGTGGAATCACTGTATTTTGTAATGAATGAACGAACAAACAAACAATCAAATCTAGTTGTCCTACCTCTGTGACCTGGCTGTGTGTGGAGAAGAAGACCCTGGCGAAGGGGTCTGAGAGGCCGCTGCTGTCTGCTGCAAACAGGCTGCGAGCCTGGTACATATGGACCCTCAGCTGGAAGATCTGCTTCACTGTGGAGGGGGGAAGATCCACAAGCATTTATCAATGAGATCCTCTAGTTTCCCTTATTCATAGTGATACAATATGTGCAATTTTTTTAAAGAAAATACATTCTGATTCAAGTTCAAAGCTCCCTGATGGTCTGAAGGCACCGGGGTAAGTCCGAGGGATTTGTCTATTCAAATCATTCTATTTCTATGGAGATATGTACACATGAATGGGACATTATCATCTCCCTTACTCATCTAGACCACAGATAATGTAAGCACTTATCCATGAGATTCCCTAGTTTCCCTTATGCGTAGTGATCTATGTGGCTCATCGGACGCCATCGGTCTCCCTTACTCATGTATGTGAGGCTGATGGGGGGAGCAGACTGCGAGCCAGGTCCTTTCAGCATCTTGTTCTCCTCAAAGCCGTTGGGCAGCCCAGACAGGAAGTCCTTCCTCTGACGGTTCAGACCCAGCCACAGGTAGATCTCTGTCTTAGCCTGCACTGTCCAGCCAGCTGCCCCAAAGCCCTTCTTACCAGGCAGCTGGGATGATGAGGCAAATACATGAGTGAAAAATCAGATGGACACATCAGTAGTGATTCAGAACTAGTGAAAACTGAAAAGGGGATGGCTGTAAATAATACAATCTTTGGATTTCAAGCAAAATCAATAAGCACACAATGGAAGAGGAAGTATGCATATGTTTGGTTTTGGATGTCGAGTAACTATGCACAGACCTTGAAGAAGATGGTTTTGACTTTGCCACAGTCCTTCCCAGTCTCCTCCTCCACCCCAGAGTACAGGATGTCTTTGGAGGGGACACGGGCGTAGGCAATACGCTTGTTGTTACTCATCATCCAGATGTAGATGTCAGGGATACTGTGCTGCGGCTGCAATTACACATAGAGGAATCAAACAACCAATCAATCTAAAAAATATTTATTGGAAAATGTGTAGTTCAAACATATATACATATACGATAAAAGAAAAGAAAGACAAACAAAGACTTCTAGAACGGTATCAATAGTTTTAGGTGTATTAACAATTATGTATGTACAGTATATGCACCCCTTACTGACTTACCTCGTCAGCTAGGAACCTGAGCTTCTGGAGGAAGTTCTGAACCAGCTTGACCTTATCCCTCACTGTATTCTTCTTCACCTGCATCCTAATGGTCTTAGCCTGCTGACCTATGCTCTCCTACAAGCACACACAATGAGACAATCATCATTTTTAGCACACAAACACAAGATGAATCAATAAGATATAAATCAAATCAAATTTTAATTTTCACATGCGCCGAATACAACATGTGTAGACCTTACAGTGAAATGCTTACTTACAAGCTCTTAACCAACAATGCTGTTTTAAGAAAAATAAGTGAAGTAAAAAAAGAAGAAAAGAAGAAAATAACAAATAATTAAAGAGCAACAATAAAATAACAGTAGTGAGGCTATATACAGGGGGTACCGGTACAGAGTCAATGTGCAGGGGCACAGGTTAGTCGAGGTAATTGAGGTAATATATACATGTAGGTAGAGGTCAAGTGACTATGCATAGATAATAAACAGAGAGTAGCAGCAGTGTAAAAGAGGGGGTGGGGGGGGGGGGGATCATATCATCTATTCCTGGACAATGCAAATAGTCCGGGTAGCCGTTTGATTAGCTGTTCAGGAGTCTTATGGCTTGGGGGTAGAAGCTGTTAAGAAGCATTTTGGATCTAGACTTGGCGCTCTGGTAACGCTTGCTGTGCGGAGCAGAGAGAACAGTCTATGACTAGGGTGGCTGGAGTCTTCCTCTGACACCGCCTGGTATAAAGGTCCTGGATGGCAGGAAGCTTGGCCCCAGTGATGTAATGGGCCGTACGCACTACCCTCTGTAGTGCTTTGCGGTCAGAGGCCGAGCAGTTGCCATACCAGGCGGTGATGCAACCAGTCAGGATGCTCTCGATGGTGTAGCTGTAGAACCTTTTGAGGATCTGAGGACCCATGCCAAATCTTTTCAGTCTCCTGAGGGGGAATATGCTTTGTCGTGCCCTCTTCACGACTGTCTTGGTGTGTTTGGACAATGATAATTTGTTGGTGATGTGGACACCAAGGTACTTGAAGCTCTCAACCTGCTCTACTACAGCCCCGTCGATGAGAATGTGGGCATGCTCGGTCCTCCTTTTCCTGTAGTCCACAATCATCTCCTTTGTCTTCATCACATTGCGGGAGTGGTTGTCGTCCTGGCACCACACGGCCAGGTCTCTTACCTCCTCCCTATAGGCTGTCTCATCATTGTCAGTGATCAGGCCTACCACTGTTGTGTCATCGGTAAACTTAATGATGGTGTTGGAGTCGTGCTTGGCCATGCAGTCATGGGTGAACAGGGAGTACAGGAGGGGACTGAGCACGCACCCCTGAGGGGCCACAGTGTTGAGGATCAGCATGGCAGATGTGTTGTTACCTACCCTTACCACCTGGGGGCGGCCTGTCAGGAAGTCCAGGATCCAGTTGCAGAGGGAGGTGTTTAGTCCCAGGGTCCTTAGCTTAGTGATGAGCTTTGAGGGCACTATGGTGTTGAACGCTGAGCTGTAGTCAATGAATAGCATTCTCACGTAGGTGTTCCTTTTGTCCAGGTGGGAAAGGGCAGTGTGAAGTGCAATAGAGATTGCATCAACTGTGGATCTGTTGCGGCAGTATGCAAATTGGAGTGGGTCTAGAGTTTCTGGGATAATGGTGTTGATGTGAGCCATGACCAGCCTTTCAAAGCACTTCATGGCTACAGACGTGAGTGCTACGGGTCGGTAGTCATTTAGGCAGGCTACCTTAGTGTTCTTGGGCACAGGGACTATGGTGGTCTGCTTGAAACATGTTGGTATTACAGACTCAGCCAGGGTCAAGGTTGAAAATATCTGTGAAGACACTTGCCAGTTGGTCAGCGCATGCTCAGAGTACACGTCCTGGTAATCCGTCTGGCCCTGCGGCCTCGTGAATGTTGACCTGCTTAAAGGTCTTACTCACATCGGCTACGGAGAGCGTGATCACAAAGTCGTCCGTAACAGCTGATGCTCTTATGCATGCTTCAGTGTTGCTTGCCTCAAAGCGAGCATAGAAGTCCTTTAGCTCGTCCGGTAGGCTCGTGTCACTGGGCAGCTCGCGGCTGTGCTTCCCTTTGTAGTCCGTAATAGTTTGCAAGCCCTGACACATCCGACGATCGTCAGAGCCGGTGTAGTACGTGTCAATATTAGTCCTGTATTGACGCTTTGCCTGTTTGATGGTTCGTCGGAGGGCATAGCGGGATTTCTTATATGCGTTCGGGTTAGAGTCCCACTCCTTGAAAACGGCAGCTCTACCCTTTAGCTCAGTGCAGATGTTGCCTGTAATCCAAGGCTTCTAGTTTGGGTATGTACGTACGGTCATTGTTGGGGATGACGTCATCGATGCACTTATTGATGAAGCCAGTGACTGATGTGGTGTACTCCTCAATGCCATCGGAAGAATCCCGGAACATATTCCAGTCTGTGCTAGCAAAACAGTCCTGTAGTTTAGCATCTGCGTCATCTGACCACTTCTGTATTGAGCGAGTCACTGGTACTTCCTGCTTTAGTTTTTGCTTGTAAGCAGGAATCGGGAGGATAGAATTATGGTCAGATTTGCCAAATGGAGGGCGAGGGAGAGCTTTGTACGCGTCTCTGTGTGTGGAGTAAAGGTGGTCTAGAGTTTTTTTCCTCTGGTTGCACATTTAACATGCTGGTAGAAATGAGGTAAAACGGATTTAAGTTTCCCTGCATTAAAGTCCCCGGCCACTAGGAGCGCCGCCTCTGGATGAGCATTTTCTTTTTTGCTTATGGCCTTATACAGCTCGTTGAGTGTGGTCTTAGTGCCAGCATCGGTTTGTGGTGGTAAATAGACAGCTACGAAAAATATAGATGAAAACTCTCTTGGTAAATAGTGTGGTCTACAGCTTATCATGAGATATTCTACCTCAGGCGAGCAAAACCTTTGAGACTTCCTTAATATTAGATTTTGTGCACCAGCTGTTATTTACAAATATACACAGACCGCCACCCCTTGTCTTACCGGAGGCAGCTGTTCTATCTTGCCGATGCACCGAAAACCCCGCCAGCTGTATGTTATCCATGTCGTCGTTCAGCCAAGACTCGGTGAAACATAAGATATTACAGTTTTTAATGTCCCGTTGGTAGGATAGTCTTGATCGTAGCTTGTCCATTTTATTATCCAATGATTGTACGTTGGCTAATAGGACTGATGGTAGAGGCAGATTACCCACTCGTCCCGTATGGCTCAGTTGGTAGAGCATGGCACTTGCAACGGCAGGGTTGTGGGTTTGATTCCCAAGGGGGGCCAGTACAAACAAATATGAAAATGTATGCACTCACTACTGTAAATTACTCTGGATTAGAGCGACTACAAAATATGTAAAATGTAGTAGGAGGGCCATACAAACAAGTCTTACAATGCATTCTAACCGTATTATACCTGTAGGCTTTAAATAAAGTGTTACCCACAAAGATCGTATATATGTAATTCTGTGGTGTTACCAACATAATATATAAAAATATCACAATAATCTTTGGATCAGGTGTGCCGTACCAGTTCCCTCATGCAGGACTTGAGTCTCTCCTTGTCCAGCTTGGTCCTCCCAGTCTGATTCTGGTCTTTGTTAGCCAGAGTCAGAAACTGACTGAAGAAATAATTAAATGTTAGCCAATTCTGCATCCCAAATGGAATAGGGTGCCATAATTGTGTAAGTAAGTAATATGGGGAAGTAAGTAATATAGGGAAGTAAGTAATATAGGGAAGTAAGTAATAGAGGGAACTTCCCTCTATTACTTACTTCCCTATATTACTTACTTCCCTCAGGGAAGTAAGTAATATAGGGAAGTAAGTAATATAGGGAAGTAAGTAATATAGGGAAGTAAGTAATAGAGGGAACAGGGTGCCATAATTGTGTAAGTAATTGTAGAAAGGGTAAGTAGAGACCTGCATCCGTTGCCGAGATCCTCCAGGACCCCTCTCAGTCTGCGTTCAGGATAGGCCTTCTCCGTCTTAATGACCTCCTGAACATCGTTCAGACCCTCCTCCTGTTGACACAGTGTCATAGACATGTTAGAACATTACGAGTATGCTTTAATAATGTTGTTGATTGTGAAAATAATAGGGCTGGTAATTGCCAGGGACCTCACAATACAATATTATCACGATAATTAGGTGCCGATATGTAACTGTATTGATCTTTCCCCCATCACTAGAAAATTATGTTGTAATTATGTTGTTTTTACACATTTTGATGGGTATTAAGGTGATTGACTGACTCACCAGTTTATCTGCGATGTTGTCCATGATGTTGGCATTGTACAGTCTTCTTCTCTGGTCCTGCCACCAGCTCTTGATGTAAATACATGGCTTCCTCTCAAAGTAAGGCAGGTGGAAATAGTTTCTGAAGGTTTGAAATTAATAAAGAGAGACACTGAAACCTGACCTAGTGAGACCTATGATCCGGTTATAGTGAACGACAATCCCAGCAGGAAAACTAGCTGAAGTGATTGTTACAACAACTAGCAGAACTAACGTAATTTCAACCAGCTTTCCCCGCTGTAGTATTCTGCTTATGTGTGTGATGGGATCTGACCTGTCAGTGATGACCGGTTTCATGGGCGGGGTGGAGGACACTGAGACCAGGTCATTATCATCTCCCTCCTCTTCATCACTGGAGCCTTGGATCAGCTCTGACTCCTCTTCATCTCCGTCTCCCCCACCCTTCTTCCTGCTACTCGACTTGGGTTTGGTCACACCGTCAATTTCGCTTCCATAGTTACCTAGTTAAAAGACGCAAGTTTAAAATATGATTATGAACATGGCAATATACAGATCATCAAGGGTTGCCACCCGGACCCAGATTATGCTTAGTCATGGATTTCTTTATATTATTCATGGAGAATCTTCATTGAGGGACGGTTTCCCAGACACCGATAAGGCTAGTCCTAGACTAAAAAACCCAGGACTAGGCTTAATCTGTATCCGGGAAACCTGCCCTACATGTGCTACCTGCTGCCTTAGTATTATGTTATAAAGTGAAGTCAGTTTTATTAATATAATAGGGCTGAATTCGAACCTGAGTTTTATGTGGCTTAACTTTGCATAGCTCATGCACTGACGTCAAGGGGTGATGAGTGAGTATTGAGCTACCAACCTATTGTAACCTCGAAGCTGATTGGTTTGTCCCCGATCTTCCTGTCAATCATGGTGGCCTCCAGGAACGCCCCGAAGAGGAAGAACTCCTCTACTTTCCCTGTGGCGCTCTAGATTGAGAGGCACAAAGATGAACATGGACATACATTATAACAGGAATAATTATTCCACCTTCCCAGTGGCATTCTGGATGGATAGGGAGTAAAGACACAAAGATTAATATGGAAAACATTTTCAGGAAGAACACCTCCACTTTCACAGTGGTGTTCTGCATGGATGGAGAGACAAAGATTAAAAGGAAACTTTTGACAATGATGCCCTTTATCTATTTCTCCAGAGTCAGATGAACTAGTAGAGACCATTTTTATGAGTTAGAGGTAGTTTCACGAGCCAATGCTAACTAGCGTTAGCGCAACGACTGTTAGTCTATGGGTATCTACTAGCATGCTAGCATTGTCATTCTGTCATTGCGCTAACACTAGTTAGCATTGGCTCGCGAAACTACCTAACTTCCTTCATACTGGACACAGAGACATAAAAATGGCATCCACAAGTTCATCTGTCTCTGTATCCCATTAATATGGAAACCCTCATCTGTGATAATTAAGCAATAAGGCCCGAGGGGGTGTGGTATATGGCCAGTATACCACGGCTAAGGGCTGTTCTTATGCACAATGCAACGCGGAGTGCCTGGATACAGCCCTTATCCATGGTATATTGGCCATATACCACAAACCCCCGAGGTGCCTTATTGCTATTATAAACTGGTTAACAACGTAATTAGTAAAAACAAATGTTTTGTCATACCCGTGGTATACGGTCTTTCAGCCAATCAGCATTCAGGTCCCAGTTTATAACTGGAGATGTATGTCTTGAGAATGCTGTGATGTGTCCTATATGGTGTCTGATGTATGACAATATAGTGTATGAGAGTTTGGTGAGTATTTCAATGATGAGTATGAAAATACGGTGCATGCAGAGCTCTGGTTCAGGACTAATAATGTAGCATCAGCGATCAGCTTAATAAAGATGATCAATCATTTAGTCAGATTGCACCGTGATGACCTGTAAGTTGTCAGCTGTGAGTCAAAATAGGAGGGTTTATCTGCTTGAGCACTCACCCAAGAGAGAGAGTGAGAGAAAGAGACACACAGAGAGACAGAGAGAGAGAGACAGGAGACAGAGAGAGAGAAAGAGAGAGAGAGAGAGAGGAGAGAGAGAGAGAGAGAGAGAGAGAGAGAGAGAGAGAGAGAGAGAGAGAGAGAGAGAGAGAGAGAGAGAGAGAGAGAGAAAGAGAAAGAGAAGAGAAAGAGGCAGAGACAGTGTGTGTGTGCATGTGTGTGTACGGGCAAGCGTGTGTGCATATTTACATACATGCATGTGTGTGAGACCCACCTCTGAGATGTTGGGCACCCCCTCCACCTGCACCTCGGTGGAGCTCATGATCTCCGGGGAGGAGGTGTCCAGGATCTCCACACCCAGGCTGACCAGCAGGCGGGCCCTGAAGGACACCCCCTCCCCCAGACCCTCGTTCAGGTCCTGGTGCTCGTCCATGATGGTGTAGCTACGAGTGGAGCCATACATGTTCACCCAGGCCGGACCCAGAGTGGGAAGGAAGCCTGGCAGAGAAGAGTATGGGTGTTAAGAGCATGGCAATTTGGCATGGTGGCGCAGTGGTCTAAGGCACTGCATCGCAGTGCTAGCTGTGCCACTAGAGATCCTGGTTCGAATCCAGGCTCTGTCGTAGCCGGCCGTGACCGGGAGACCCATGGGGCGGCACACAATTGGCCCTGCGTCGTCCAGGGTAGGGGAGGGAATGGCCGGCAGGGATGTAGCTCAGTTGGTAGAGCATGGCATTTGCAACGCCAGGGTTGTGGGTTCGATTCCCACGGGGGGCCAGTATGAAAAATAATGTATGCACTCACTAACTGTAAGTCGCTCTGGATAAGAGCGTCTGCTAAATGACGTAAATGTAAGTGCTTTTGGAGATTGTGGCGGTAACACAGCCAACTCCGCATCACACACTGGCAAAATGCAAAACGCCTCTCTCGGTCGGTTACACTTGGTCAGACTTTTTCATAAGGTAACACTTCCACAATTTGCTCCAGCTGGGACTTGTCACCTATTGCACTTTACTTTATAAAAAATGAAAGACACAGAAAAGAAAAAGAAAGAAACACAATACAGAGTATCTTCTGAATTAAGGGAAACATTTCTGCACTGAAGCACCTTTGTCTCCATCATTGGCGATCTTTCTCAGGTCAATGAAGTGTGTTCCGAGGGCCACGTCGTTCACTTTGTCCGAGTCTCGGATCTGGACCTTCATGCGTTTGCAGAGTGGTGGAAACATCTCAGTGATGACGATCTGCTCGTTCCAGATTGGCTCGTAGCTGCTTTTCTGGATAGATGTTTTCCCCTGGGATCACAAAGCAGTCCACTTAAACAGTACAATAAAACAAGTTGTGCCCATTGCATATAACATAACATAGCATAATATACAATGGTGAGAGAAAGTTTGTGAACCATTTAGGATTTTCTGCATTTCTGCATAAATTTGACCTAAAATGTGAACAGATCTTCATCTAAGTCCTAATAATAGATAAAGTGAACATGATTAAACAAATAATACAAAAACAATTTATTTATTGTGCAAATTGGTCCAACATTCAATTTCTTTGTCGGAAAAAGTATGTGAAACCTCTAGATTAATCAGCTCAATTAAGTGTATTAAAGTAGTCAAACGTTTAGTATTTGGTCCCATTTTCCTTGAATGCAATGACTACATCAAGCTTGTTTTGGTAGTGTTTTGGATTATGTTTTGCCCAATAGTAACTGAATGGTGAATGATAACTACAGTAATTTTCTTTATAAGTGAGTAGATCAGAGGTTTCTGAAGACTTGAATGAATCACGAATAATGATGAGTCTCCTGAGTGGCGCAGTGGTCTAAGGCACTGCATCGCAGTGCTAACTGTGCCACTAGAGATCCTGGTTCGAATCCAGGCTCTGTCGCGACCGGGAGACTCATGGGCGGCGCACAATTGGCCCAGGGTAGGCCGGCAGGGATGTAGCTCAGTTGATAGAGCATGGCGTTTGCAACGCCAGGGTTGTGGGTTCGATTCCCACGGGGGGCCAGTATAAAAAAATATATATATGTATTCACTAACTGTAAGTCGCTCTGGATAAGAGCGTCTGCTAAATAAATAAAAAAAGAGTGAGAAAGTTACAGAGGCTACAACAAAACATATAACATCTTACCAATAACAGGGGAGGTTAGCATTTTCTGGGGGGGGTATGATCTTTTTGCCTTTGTAACCTTCTCATACATCATTATTAATGATATTTTCAGAAACATCTTCTATTCTTAATAACAATAAAAGTGACTCCAAAATGGTAGACATTATTCACCATTCAGTTCCTGTTAGGCAAAACATAGCCGAAAACAAACTGCAAATGCATCCAATGAGTTTGTAGAGTCACAAGCTTGATGTAGTCATTGTGTGCAAGGAATATGGGACCAAATACTAAACTTTTGACTACTTGAAATCACTTAATTGAGCTGATTAATCTAGAGGTTCACATACTTTTTCCGAACAAAGAAGTTGAATGTTGGACCAATTTGCTCAATATAAAAATGAAAAAGTACAATTGTTTTTGTGTTATTTGTTTAATCATGTTCACTTTATCTATTATTAGGACTTAGATGAAGATCTGATTACATTTTAGGCCAAATGTATGCAGACATGCAGAAAATCCTAAAGGGTTCACAAACATTCTCTCACCATTGTACTTTAACATAGCATAGAATAACATAATGTAACATAGCTTAACATAACATAACATAGCATAGCAACAGAAGAGTGCTATAACTTACCCTCTGGCCAGCGAAGAGTACTTGTACATAAGGGTCCACAAGGTCCTTGTTCTCCCCTATGAAAGCCTTCTTGACATTAGCCATGATGCTGGTGTTCATCTTGGGAAGGCCCTCGGCTCTATAGATCTTCACATAGTAGCGAGCCCACTGACGCTCCGCGGGAACCCCCTCAGGTAACAGGAGGTTACTGAAACCACAGAATTAAAGACAAACACTTGTAACACATTGCATTGTATCTCTATGACTAAAAACAGCAATAGAAAGTAATCAAAGAATTGTGAGATGGGAGAGCTTTCACAGGACTCTCTAGAGCTTGGCCTATTGCTGCTTTTATTACTACAGTATTACTACTACAGTTTTACTACTACAGTATTCTTACTACATTATTACTACTAAAGTATTATTACTATAGTATTACAACTAAATTATTACTACATTGTTACTACTAGAGTATTAGTACTACAGTATTATTACTACAGTATTACACCTACAGTATTACTACTACAGTATTATTACTAAAGTATTACTACTACAGCATTATTACTACAGTATTACTACTACAGTAGTATTATTACTACTACAGTATTACTACTACATTATTATTACTACATTATTACTACTACAGTATTACTACTGCAGTTTTACTACTACAGTATTATTACTACAGTATCATTACTACATTATTACTACAGTATTACTACTACATTATTACTACTACACTCATATCCCCAGTAATATGTTGGTCATTTTTACCCTTCTATGTCATCGTCATCGGTTTCGGTGGCCTTGTGTGGAGTCTTGATGTTGTCTCCTTTCCCCACGACAGCGATGTCACATTTAATGTAACCTTTGCACCCGGCAGTGATGTCATCAGGGTCAGAGAGAAGGGCCCATTTGTGGAAAAACTGGTGTTCTATTAGACAAAAATCATTATAATAAACGACATTCATATGTACAGTATACTGGTCAGTACCAGAGCCATAGAGTATAGACATAGGTCACTAGTAGCTACTGTGTTTCCTTCTATTTCTCCCTGACCTGGATGCGAGTAGACGGTGCCTACATCCAGTTTGAAAGAGCCAACCAGAGTCCCACTACGCAGCAGGTTCTTGGAGTGGATTACCTGAGGGATGGATGAGCAGAGTGAAGATTGCAATGTGCATCAATAATATGTGACCTGAGTTGAATATTATGAATGACTGTATACATAATGGACACATTGATTCCCATGGCTCTCCGTTCATTTAGATAGGGAGGGGAATTATAGCGTAACTGTTTGTTTGTGTTGTGGTAAAGCTACTCACCGACAGCTTCAGGATCTTGTCAAACATAACATCAGGTGGGACGTGGAAGTCAAAGACAAAATACTAAAAGAGAAATGTGACATAAAATAAATGTATCAGTGTAATGAAGTGTTCTGTTAAAATGTGTAGCTTTATTGAAATTATACATGTAGCTTTATTGATGACTATACATGCAATTACAATGCTTTAGACCTTGTCATCATCATCAACCTCCTCCTCCTTATCATCATAATCATCATCATCATTCCAGGGCAGGTTGGCTACCTCATTGTAGTATGGGCAGTTTGTTGACTCCTTCATCTGAGTGTACTTCTTATCGTCTCCAATCTCCACACAGACCACTGGATCCATGTTCAGCCCTACTAGCTGCCTGGCCTCTATGATGGTAACACTAACCTGGTAAAATTGGGTTATCATGTATCAACACTCTTTAGTGTAACCATTTTTTATACTGTATGCTGATTATTCCTTGATTCATTGAGCGTATATTTTAATTTACTTGGAAATCCATTGGTCTCCCGGCACTAGGTTCCATCTTAATGTCAGGTTTTGATCTGATGTTAGACACGTTAGAAAGATGTTTCAGTGAGATTAAATCAATGCAGACTTTCATTTCAGAATTTTGTACACTACAATATACTACATTGTAAACAATGTAATTGAATCATTAGTCTTCAATTCAACACTAAGAGTTTGCTTCTGTGTTATCTAACTACATAGGATTGTCTGTTATGTGTAAATTGAATGGCAAACCACAAGTAACATAGAACTGTGCTCTGTGCTTACCTCTTGTTGGAGACATTAGTGGTGACGGCTGTGACTGAGGCCAGGGAGATGGTGTCGGGGTCAGGACCACCTCCCCCTCCCGTTCCTCCCATGAAGTCCAGGTCCTCTGTCTCCAAGATGGCTGCCTCATCGCCTGGACAATCACAGTCAAGGAGGCCACACCTGTCAGAACAGCCTGACAGGATGACGATAGCTAAGCTTGACAACCACCCTTTTAGGTTGTTTGTGTCACTTTTGTATTGTATTTATTTTTGTTTGAATTTAAGTTGAATATTACTATTTAACGTAGGATATGTTACACATTTTTCATCTATACTTTTCTAATTTTTTTATGTCATTTTATCAGAGCGTATCAGAGAGTGATTAGGACCAAAGCTTGTAAGAAAGCATTTTGTGTAGCTCCATTATTATTACAAGAAACAATTGGGGTGGGTGGTGGTGGTGTGTGTGTGTGTGTGTGTGTGTGTGTGTGTGTGTGTGTGTGTGTGTGTGTGTGTGTGTGTGTGTGTGTGTGTGTGTGTGTGTGTGTGTGTGTGTGTGTGTGTGTGTGTGTGTGTGTGTGTGTGTGTGTGTGTGTGTTGTAGTATACTGTACCTCTTCCTCCTTTTCCGTGGTCTGACTTATGGCCACGTGATTTCTTCATGATTCAGAACAATCCTTTTCTTGCTCTGTGAAGTAAATAGAATAGATATATAGATTTTGTGGGAGGTTCTTGATTGCGACATAGACTACGTTTTTGAGTTAATAAATCAACAAATACTGCACTGTGGATTTGATTGGTGTGAGCTTTTAGGAGCCCTATTTAGTGCACTACTTTTGACCAGAACCCTATGGGTGAATAGGGTGCCATTTGAGACGAAACCAGTGTATTTCTTAAGGCAGGTAGCCTGGTTTCCACTCTACCACCACACCCTCATCTGGCTCCAATGAGGAGTTTAAATAATTCACATCCCATAACCTTAATACAGTGTCTTCAGAAAGTATTCATACTTCTTGACTTTTTCCACATTTTGTTGTGTTACAGCCTGAATTCAAAGTGGATTAAATTGTTTTTTTTTCCCCCTCACCAATCTACACACAATACCCCATAATGAAAAAGTGAAAAAAATTTTTTTGAAATGTTTGCAAATGTATTGAAAATGAAATACAGAAATAGCTGATTTACATAATTATTCACACCCCTGTGTCAATACATGTTAGAATCACCTTTGGCAGCAATGACAGCTGGGAGACTTTCTGGGTAAGATTCCAAGAGCTTTGCACACCTGGATTGTACAATACTTGCACTTTTTTTAAACAATTTTATTTTTCAAGCTCTGTCAAGTTGGTTGATGATGATTGCTAGACAGCCATTTTCAAGTCTTGTCATAGATTTTCAAGCCGATTTAAGTAAAAACTGTAACTAGGCCACTCAGGAACATTCAATGTCGTCTTGGTAAGCAACTCCAGTGATATTTGGCCTTGTGTTTTAGGCTATTGTCCTGCTGAAAGGTGAATTTGTCTCCCAGTGTCTGTTGGAAGGCAGACTGAACCAGGTTTTCTAGCTCTATTCTGTTTATTTTTATCGTAAAATACTCCCTAGTCCTTGCCAATGACAAGCATACCCATAACATAATGCAGCCACCACCATGCTTGAAAATATGAAGAGTGGTACTCAGTGATGTGTTGTATTGGATTTGCCCCAAACATAACGCTTCGTATTCAGGACATAAAGTTCATTTCTTTGCCACATTTTTTTGCAGATTTACTTTAGTGCCATATTGCAAACAGGATGCATGTTTTGGAATATTTTTATTCTGTACAGGCTTCCTTCTTTTCACTCTGTCATTTAGGTTAGTATTGTGGAGTAACTACAATGTTGTTGATCCATCCTCAGTTTTCTCCTATCACAGCCTTTAAACTCTGTAACTGTTTTAACAGGGGTGTAAAGTACTTAAGTAAAAATACTTCAAAGTACTACTAAAGTAGTTTTTTTGACTGTACTTTACTTTACTATTATATTTTTGACAACTTTTACTTTTACTTCATTACATTCCTAAAGAAAATAATGTACTTTTTACTCCATACATTTACCCTTACACTCAAAAGTACTCGTTACATTTTGAATGCTTAGCAGGACAGGAAAATGGTCCAATTCACACACTTATCAAGAGAGCATGCCTGGTCATCCCTACTGCCTCTGATCTGGCGGACTCACTAAACACAAATGCTTCATTTGTAAATTATGTCTGAGTGTTGGAGTGTGCCCCTGGCTATCTGTAGATAAAAAAATTTAAAAAACATTATTATAATTTGGTTTGCTTAATATAAGGAATTTGAAATTATTTATACTATTATTTTTACTTTTGATTCATAAGTATATTTTTGCAGTTACATATACTTTTGATACTTAAGTATATTTAGAACCAAATACTTTTAGACTTTTACTCCAGTAGTATCTTACCGGGTGACTTTCACTTTTACTTGAGTCATTTTCTATGAAGGTATCTTTACTTTTACTCAAATATGACAATTGGGTACTTTTTCCACCACTGTGTTTTAAAGTCACCATTGGCCTCATGGTGAAATCCCTGAGTGGTTTCCTTCCTCTCCGGCAACTGAGTTAGGAAGGACGCCTGTATCTTTGTAGTGACTGGGTGTATTGATACACCATCCAAAGTGTAATTAATAACTTCACCTGTTCAAAGGGATATTCAATGCATTATTATTTATATTTTTTTCATCTACCATTAGGAGCCCTTCTTTGCGAGGCATTGGAAAACCTCCCTGGTCTTTGTGGTTGAATCTGTGTTTGAAATTCACTGCTCGATGAAGGGACGTTACAGATAACTGTATGTATGGGGTACAGAGATGAGGTATTCGTTTAAAAATCATGTTAAACACTATTACTGCACACATTGACTCAAGACATTTCAGCTTTTCATTTGTAATTAATTAGTAAAAAAATATAAAAACATAATTCCAATTTAACATTCAGACTATAACACAACAAAATGTGGAAAAAGTCAAGGGTTGTGAATACTTTCTGAAGGCACTGTACATCAATTAACCACGGATACATTTTACATACTTTGTGGAAAATAAAACTCACCATAATTATTATTATATATAAAACACCTTTAAAAGCATGTATTGTATTGTAAGATTTGAATTGTAAATGATGAATCCAACAGATCTCTTCTCAATGGGCTTGACTTTCTGCTGTATACTGTAGCTGGCTTTTCTATTGAGGTAACTAAAAAAGCAAAAGAAACACATACAGTACAATTTGGGTGAATTTATTTCATGTTTGATTTCATGATAGATCTCTATTCAGTTTGCTTTGACCTGTTTTCAGGTGATCTTCATTCGTTTACAGATTTTGCTTAAGGGATTCTGTTTGCATAGTCTCAGTAGAGCTATGGTTAGTTGCTTTACTCAGAACAGGGATGGGCAACTGGCGGCCCACAGTTTTGTAGGCCCGCGGATCAATTCCCCCACCCCAAAAAAATTTATTAACTCAGTCGGGGTCTCAACTTACTGTTGAGAGTTAGAATAGTAGAATACACAAGGTTGTGAACTTTGGTTGTGCTGCAGCAGTTTATCGCTTAAGTCAGTCACTTACAGTCAGTTAGCCCATATCAGCTAAAACATTTTAGATTGGTAAATTAGTCTAGCCAGCTATCTAAACTTGTAGTAATCATGGTTGAGTTACCGACCAGGGGGCCCCCATTGATTTTGTTAGTCACTCTCACTCAGATATCATATTAAAAACTGCAAACATTTATCTTCACCCTATGGTTCGTAATTATTGTAAAAAAAAATGGGGGGGGTTATTATGTGTGTATTGTTTTGTATTGCTAGGTATTACTGCACTGTTGGTGCTAGAAACACAAGCATTTCGCTGCACCTGCGATAACATCTGCAAATCTGTGTACGCTACCAATAAACTTTGATTTGATTTGGCAAAATGAGTAGAATGGCATGAAATTAGTTATAAAATTGCTAAATCTCCTCTCTACCCTATGGCAAAATGTGTAGAATTGCAGCATACTTGCTTTAAAACTGCAAAACTTTTTTCTCTACGCCCCATGTCAAAATGTGTAGAATTGCAGGAAATGAACTCTAAAACTTCAAATGTTTCTCTACGCTGTCAAGAGGGGGGCTGCAAAAATATTTTGCTCACAAGGCATTTCGCTACACCCGCAATAACATCTGCTAAACACATGAATGTGACCAATGAAATTTGATTTCATTTGAACATTTCTGAGTAGAGCTTGTTATTTCAATATTTTTCCATCCTCACTCATGAATAAGCTGATGCTTTAAACTAAGCTGTGACTATGTTATACACAACAGCATTGCTATCCATGAATTCTATCGAAAAATGTATAATGTTTATACATACCATACAAGAAAACGGCACACTTTCTTTTTTTTCAAACCAACTCCCAATGGTTCCTGGTGAAAGAAACAAACCAAACTCTGAGGGCCTGAGGTTTTTCTACAAAATAGTTATCCTACATAGCCATTTTAGACATTTACATTGCAGAAACAGAAAGGTCACAAAAGTGAAGTTGCGCTAAAAAGAACATGGTTTGTCCAGGGCCAGGAGTTGGGCTGGAGTGATGTGATATGTCAATGAATAGTGTATGAATGTTGAACCCGAGAACAGACAGGTAACTATAACTAAATAGGTTGGTGAGAGCGATACGTCATCGCAAACAGAGTCTGCCAAGCCAGACAAGCCAACAAGACTTGTTCCACCAAGTTACGGCAACTTTTTTATGAGACCTTAAAGTTCAGATATGCAAACATATACAGCACATTCGATGAATCCAATGTGTCTGATAATGTAAGAAATTATGGTAATCCAATGTGTCTGATAATGTAAGAAATGATGGTAATGCAATGTGTCTGATAATGTAAGAAATGATGGTAATCCAATGTGTCTGATAATGTAAGAAATGATGGTAATGCCTAATAATGTAAGAAATTATGGTAATGCAATGTGTCTGACTCAGAATTCAGAATTCAATTTACATTGTGAAGGGAACTAAAAGTAGCTTTGGGAATTGTGACAGAACGTGGGTTGGCCGAAAATGTTTGAACAGAATTAGGCTATTTCTTTGTAGACAACCAAAGACATGCGTTAATATGTGTGAGGTCAGGTGTGTGTGTGT